CTCATGTATCTATCAGGCCTTTAAAAAAAAAGATGTTGTATTGCCCTTTAGGTGCCAAAACATGGGTTGGTTGGTCAGAAATCTTCTTCTTTATCTTTGGGCTGATATTACTTCATTTTGAATGCTTTAATACTGGTACATTCTTTTCTAAAAAATGGTTTTAAATTTTTTTTTTTTTAAAGCCGACTGTAGATTCCAAGATTTTTGTGTCAGTCGCAAAGGGCATTACAACATTTTTTTTTGTAGGCCCCATGCTGTGACACTGACACTGTGATACATCCACCAAATTCATTCTACCCTAGCCTCCTACTGTACTCCCTAAGCTCTCTGATACTGTTTTCACACTGGCAATATTTTGCTTAACCCCGTACTATAGGTGGGGTTAAGGGGGGGGGGGGTCTTAGCCCCACCTATAGTACGGGGTTAAGCCTATTCCACTTTCTGTTCAGACTGGCTTTAACCAAAGTGGGCTAACCCGCAATTGCGGTGCCAAGCAAATGAATGAGAACAGAAACGAAAAATAGTCTGGTACTACGCAATGGAGCGTATCGCAGCTGGCCAGATGCGAAGTATGTCCAATCATAACATTCACGATATCCGGGGTTAACGAATTGCAGTGAGAACAGCGTGAATTTTCTTATTCCGGAATAGGCGCTAGTATGGGACTAAAAACAGTGTGTGTGAAAAGCCAAAAAAAAATAGTCCGGGCTGAGGATAGTACGGGGCTAAGCAAAGTACGGGGTTAAGCAAAACAATTGTGAAAAGAGTATGACTCTCTTCCTTCACCTATCACTCCAGTCTCACTGCCAGACCCTTCCAATGGTATACCACTTTATCTCTAGAGCCAACAAAGGAAATACAAGAAGAAGAAGAAGAACTAAAGGCGTTTTGAAAAGATAAATTCAAATATTGTTATGATGATTATAATGTATTATTCAATGCACCCACTATGCTATATATGTACAGCACTCTTTCTGCTCCAATGGGGAGCATTCCAGGCTCTTTCCATTTTGCAGGTGTGCACATGCTAATCCAACCACATTGACATTTGCATCCTACTGGTAACCCATATACCCACCCACCCCCCCCCCCCCCTCCCCTCACCTCGGTATCTAAGAGCAGTAATGTAGAAAAAATACAAAGCATAAAAACATTGACTTCCATGAAATTCCCATGCTGAGCTGAGGCTTGAACCCCTAACCTCTGCATCAAATCACTCAACCACAGGAATGTCCACATGAATGTATGACACCTCTACCCAAACAAAGAAGGACTGAAACAAATTAATAAAGTGATAAGATTCCCCTTTGACAGGATTACCCATACTTGCATGTTTTACATTCCTTTCCTTTCATTCTAATCCAATATTTTGAAAGTTAATCAGAATATCACGTGGAAATTCCTGAGGTTCTGATTCACCTTGTATTGCATTTGACAACTATAAACAAAACACCTCCATGAATTAAAGGTGTATGATTTTATTTTTCCAAGATTTTATTTTTCCAACAATGAATATTTTGCTAGTACTTCCTGTAGAACTTGTTTGTGTTTGCTCCACGATGCATGTATGAGCTACATTGTAATATCCAGTGGTTTTTCTGCTTGATTTATTTCCCTCTTCGCAATTGAATTTTGTGTCATTATAGAAAGGTAATTTACCAGTTCAGTCTGCTTGTTCTTGATTTTTTTTTTTTTTTTTTTTTTTGGGGGGGGGGGGGTCATACTCTGAAAAAATTATGACCTTTTTTATGGAAGATATATACAAGTTTTTAATTGGAGAGATTTTCGGATCAAAAGGCACAAGGAGGCCATGATGAAAGAGCTCAATAAAATTGATTTAATGTTGGCTTGTGCAGAACTCTTTTGTAAACAGTCAATGTCTAGTGACTACGTGTTGGTAAGTTCTATAAATGTACATGTACAAATGTAGATCAATCAATGCTTTTGAAATGTTGATGATTTGATAGACTGTACATGTATATTTCTCTTTACATTTGTACATGTAGTTCATTTATGGTAGTTCAAACTTCAAACACAGTATATGCATCAATAAGAGTAAATCTTGGAGGAAATAAAATAAATTCAATAATTAACAAAAGAAAGAGTGGGGGTGGGGAGAAAATTAATGCCAAAAACCAACATTTACTGAGAAGAATCCTCAAAATTTGTTAAGGCCCAATTAAAAGAGCTCTCTTTGTTCAATACTTTGAAATAGGCTATTTTAAAAGGCCTATAGACTCTCATTCCGTGTTTTAATAACCATTATTATCTTTTAAATAAATATATGAATGTCTGTCCCAAACTATGATAAGGATGATTGAATTCTCCATCCGTCAATATGTCTGTTTGGAGCCAGAAGGGCATTGAGTGGTTTATACTTTATCACAGTTAATGTCCTTCTAGCTCTGAACAGAGGAATAAGGTACTTTTTATGTTGCAATCTATCAGGGAAAATAATACACGGGGGCTCGGGCCGAATTAGCCCCCGAAATGCCCAAAAGAGCCCCCGAAAGTAAAAAAAGACCCCCAAAAATTTGCAAAAAGAGTGCAATGCAAAACAATTAAAGAGTGTTATTTTCTGGCAAGCAGGCTTGAAAAGTAGCCCCGAAATGTTTTTATTAATTTTTCCCTGCAATCTATTGTGATAATCATAGTTGTTGTTTTGGCCTGATATGAACTGAAACTCTGGTCAGCTGTAGAACGCACGGGTTTTATCATGAAAACTGACCTCATAATAATTCTGTTTGCTGTTTTGAAGGACAAAAATCAGAACAGATTTGTAAAGATTAATACCACACCCAATATGCAGCCACAATACTGATTATTGCCTGTGGCAGACAAGCCATATAAGCAGGATTATATTCTGTATATCTCCTAAAAGTTAGTTTTTAAGAAGTTAAAAACCCAATGTATATAACATTGAATACTGAAGAACGTTCCTAGAATGTTTACACCATCAAAGTTGTGGATACAAAATTTTGACACCCCCCCCCCCCCCCCCCCCCGCCTTCTTTTTTCCCCCCTGAAAGCTCAGTTCTTGAAACAAGCTCTTAAAAACTAATATTCACAGAATTACCACACTCAAAAATAAAACTTTCTTTAGTTCTAGAGTTTCTGTACAAAATGCTCCAGTCGAAGAATGATTAAATATTCCTTTGAATAACCACGTAACACATGTATTTTTGGGGAAGCTTCATATATAAAGTAGATCCTCTCATTTCGCAATATATCTGTGACGTTCAATGTGATAGTGATATTTGTACGCCCTTATTGAAATCTAGGCTTGCGACAAACTTAATAAGCTTGCATACACTAATTTAAGATTACAGACTTATGATGGAAATTGTTTGACTTCAAGAAATCTGAAGTAAATACACATATGCATATGATCACAGCTAGTGCTGTTTATCTCATATAATATGCATGTACAGTATATCTACTGAAAGGTCATATAAAGTAAGTGTTTACATCCCAAATATACATGAATATTATACAATGTATTCCTTTCTTGATGGATGATCAGTCCGGATATGAATATTTGCGAGGAAGGTGAGGTCTTTTTGGATTTTTTATTTTTGCTGATTCATTTTTGGTTGTTGGACTTAAAGGGATCCGATAACTTTGCCTTAGATTCTGAAACAAGATCCTGGATTTAGCTCATGCTGCAATGATAATTATAAAACTTTAGTCCAGTCAGGAACCCCATGACTTTTACAAGCCGATCGCCTGTCTGATTATCAAGATATTTATGATTGGATATCGAAACCAAATTCTGCATTTTCCTAACAGTTTTCATAACACTACAGTCTATTGGGGAAAATGAGTACCGGTATGGTAAAACCAGTCCCTCAAAGATTTTTACTTTTTTGAGGCGCTTCTTGATCATATTGAAGCACAATTTTGGGGGGCTTCAATTTTACACCATATCACAGACACTGATTACATGTAGGGCTGTGCGTCTCAGATTTATCATTGTTAAACGATCACTTTAAAGATCATAGTCACACATGTGCGTACACTTTGTAGATCCATAAAGCATTATATTGACTGGTCCAAAATCAATCACAAGTTATTGGATAATGAGATAAGTCATTAGGCTGTATTGAACTTTGAAGAGATGGGCAAGTGTTCAGTTTATTTGTTTATTTATTCAGTCTTCTTCAAAACACAGGTTAGCTACTTTTAATGCCACAAGGTCTGCTTTACAAGGGCCCCTTTATCAAGTGGATATTACAATGGATAAAGTTAAAATTCAACATAAAAACAAACAGATAAATACCTAAAATTCATGGCAATTAAAGCATAAATGTACATCAGAGGTATGACAAATTCAGATAAATACCTTGAAATGTAAAATGAAATGAATTTGTTTTAGTTATTGCAATACTATATAGACTTTGCGATTAATTAGATGACTTGTGGAGGATTAGGATCAAATGCAACTCTGATGAAGACACAGCCCAGATTGCACCTTTTTCAGGAGGGGGGGGGGGGGGGGGGGTTGTCACCAAATAATTTATTCACATTATACAGTGTACAAGAATATAACCTAACATTGCACTATATATATATGGTCTCATTGGAGTCAGCAGGGTGTTAATTCTTACTACAGAGATAATGCTCGTCTGGCTACAATTCACAATTTTGGTGATTTTATTATCCGGAAGTTGTTATCTTAAATTTGAAGTTATTTTGGTTCATTTCTCTTCTGAGTTTCCTGTAGATGCATTAGGTTTACTTTGCAGACAAGAGAGAGAGAGAGAGAGAGAGAGAGAGAAGTATGAAAAACTATTCATCAGAAATTGTTTTCAAATAGATCAAATACAGAGATGATTGATTGGGATGATTTGTACACTCCTGGAGCGTAAAGGAATTGTTCACATATCGTCCAATCAAAGTTCAATTTAATATTGTCATATTGGTACCCAGCCAAGCATGAAGCGCCTTTGAAATCAGCCCCCTTTCCAGTGAATTCACTCGCAATAATAAATATCTTTCTTTTGTTCGAAGTCTTCGAACCCTTGAATTCAAGCATTCTAATATAGAAAATATCTCTGAATTCTAGTGCTGGGCGTTTCCTCATAACAGGGCAGTGGGTTTGTATGGCATATCTGACGTAGTTATGGAATGGTTGAAGGCGAATATCATCCGACCACAAAATGTGGGCATTCCTAACATGAATATCATCAAAGTAGAGCATTCTTTGTAAAGTGATCAACATGAGCACTAGTGGATACTCAACAGGCTCCTTCTCTACAGGATCCTTCTCATTGGATTCTGATCATGGATTCAGACTATCTCCTCGCAGGAGTAAGAATCCCAGTGGAAAGAAGAGAGAGAAACTCAAAGTGCTGTTTGACTCTGGGACGGAAAGCTCTGAAGAGGGAAGTCTGGGACTAAAGTACGGTGGTGAGAGGTTTCAGTTACCTGATCCTGTTCCCTCTGATCCTGTTACCTCTGATCCTGTCACCTCTGTTCCTGAAAGCTCTACTCCCGATAGTTCGATTCCCGAGGGTTTTGATCCATCCATAGAGGGACCCAATGAGATCTATGATATAGCTGATCATGGATCTGTCAAACGGAATTTCAATGACTTGTATGGTGGTATCAGACGTTCTTCATATGACTCTATCATTTCTGATTCGGGGAATCAACAAGAGCCGCGTCGGGGATCGTACCCTCGTATCTTCATCTCACATAGAGACATACCAGAACCAGACTACGATGATCTGCCACGAGACATACCAGAACAAGACTATGATGATCTACCACGGAATTACATACCAGAACGAGATTATGATGATCTGTCACAGGACATTCGTGTAACCCAGAGTCATTTACATCATGCTACCATCAGTTCAGTGGTGTCCAAACCGATTGACACAATTGTAGCTAAAAAATCTGAGGCTAGATCATTGCCTATCCAAGCCTTCTTGAATGGACACTTATTCCTGGATGTATCTAGACTACCCCATGTCAGAAATGTAAGTCGATCATGTAGACATCTCTCTCTCTTCTAAAGGCTGCTGGTAGTGGTATACAGTACCTTGGTCTTGGAGTAGTCTCACATCACTGTAAACACTAAAAGACTTTATATTGATGTATAGTATTACTGTACATGATGTTGATAGTGTATAATGGTTTAGAATAAAACAATTTGTTTATGATCTGTTCTACCCACTTTACATTAAAAGTGTTTAATAAGTGTTTTGAATGGAGTACATGTAAAATGTATATGGTTCACTTTTATTAAGCCCCAGCCCTGAAACATTTTTCCAATTGGTTCAATTTCATATTTTTACAAGACACATGTAATTCCAATTCTCTAATGCTGCAAACATTTCAATCTTAAAGAATGAGTGGAGTTGTGTGAGTTAAAATAAAAATTATGTAGACCATGGGCCATGAATTTATGTATTTTTTTCTTTCTTTGATTACATGACGGCCTTTGTACATTTATTCCCTGTCTAAGTGTCTAGATCCAGTGCATTTGATTTCAGGGAAGCAGTGAAAAAATTCTTCTTCTTTTTTTCGGGGGCTACTTTTCAAGCTTACCTGCATAAAAATAACACTCTATAATTTGTTTTGCATTGAACTCTATGCAAATTTACGGGGGCTCTTTTCTTATTTCGGGGACAAATTCACCCTGAGCCCCTGTGTATTTTTTCACTGCAGGGAAGTATTGTTTTAATATCTGTTTATATGTAGGATTCAAGAGACTCTCCACACTAGGAGAAAAAAGAAAAAAAACATAGAATGCGAAATACTGGAATGTAAATATTAATTTGATGAGCTGTGTGTACATTGTAGAGGTGTTCCCAACCTGGTGACATACTGGTACTTTCAAATGTTGTATCGGTGATGTACAAGTACCTTAAGTGAACCGGTAACATTGCCTCAGATTCTGAAACAAAAACCTGGATTATAAGCTCATGCCGCAATCATAATTATAAACCTTTAGGTTAGTCAGGAATCCCATGACTTTTACAAGCCGATGGTGATAATATGGTCTTATTATCAAGATATTTATGATTGGAAACCGAAATGTCATTTTTTGTTTTATTAACGGTTTTTATAAAACTACAGTCTATTGGGGAAAATGAGTATGGTGAAAATGGTCACTCAAAGATTTTTTACTTTTTTGAGGCACTTCATGATCATTTTGAAGTGCAATTTTTCAGGGCTTCAATATTACACCATATCACAGACACTGATGACACACACGTAGGGCCATCCATCTCAGATTTAACGTTGTTAAACGATGCCTTTAAAAAATTGTGGTCACGGTTCATATTGGCGAAACTTACTGAAGATGTAGTTCTGAGTTTATTGTCACCATGGCCAAACCAGAGGAAGCATAGTTTTAGGAATCATCTGTTTGAAAGATTTAGAACCAAATATCATTAAAGGGCAACTTCATTCCCAGAATATTCTGTTTTTAATACAAGCAGAAAAGTCAATGAAACAAATAATAAAATTTGAGGAAAATCTGAAAACTTGATAAGAATTAATGAAATTTTTAATGATGTGAGTTTACATGGCACCATTCAAGCAGGTTACTTTCATTCATGATGTGCAGTTTGCAAATTTTGAGGTTGAACACATATACATGTACATGTACATATAATACTTGAATAATAATGTGCTTTTCATGTAAAAGCTGGTCGCATTATTCAAGCTAGCCACAATATAAAAATATTCAAGTAAGAAATGGTTGCATATGTATTGTACACTTGTCTATTATAATCTTTGTAACTTATTCCTTTATGTTCTTTTTCAGAAACGTGGAAAAGAGAAGAATCGTATCGATCTGAATCAGATTAAAGTCGTAGAACCTGTTGCTGATGGTGCTTTCGAAAATAGACAAAATGGCATTCAGGTATGTAGCTTTCTATTTGACATTCAAAACATTTTAAGTTAATATTGTCACAGAGGAGGAGTTGTTGTGAACAACAATTCTAGATTAATCAACAGCTCTATAAAATAGACATGTACAATAAACAAACTTATACTCTATTCCCCTGTCTTATTGTAAAATTGTAATCATTAAATCAACATTATTTCCAGCTTTATTCATAAACTTTACCTTTTTGTGCCAAATTTGATTGCAGAATGTATAACACATACATGCCCGTTACATATGTTGGCTGAAAAGTATTAGTATGAAGTAATTTTCAATCAATCAGTTTGACTACGACTTGATACAAGTTGAGATTCTAGACCTCAGATTGGTCAATACTGCAAGCAAAGCCACACATCACAAATTTATACATACTACTTGCATAGGGCAATGTTTATTGTCATGCCTGGTTAGTGTTCAAATCTTTTTGTGCTTTAAGACACAACAAACTTGTACTCCTTTCCCTTGTCTTATTTGAGCATTTTGCATCTATTCAGCCAGAGTTTGAACTTTCACTCTCAGGCTCTTAGCATGCAAAAGAAAGAGACAACAAAAAAAATCATTTTGAAAGTAGCGTTTGCTGTGATTTAAAGAATGTTGTGTTACTCTTATTCATTATTCTTAAAGGGATTATTTAAGTATCTTTGTCTCAGATTCTGAAACAAAATCTTGGATTTAGCTCATGCTGCAGTGATAATTATAAACCTATAGGTGTTGCTACGGCAGGCAGCCAGTGAAAACAAATTTGTTTGATAGAATTATGGAAATGCAAGCATTACTTTAAACAAACAGAACTTTGTTATTCTTTGGTCATTTTTCCTGATTGAGGTGTCAAATGAAAGGGCAAAAAATGGACTTTCTGGAAATATGAATTTCTCTTTGAAATTCAGATACCGTCCGCCAAATTGCTTTTTGGTACCCTTTCTTCAGATTGTTTTTAATCACTCATGCGAGAAATACCCATCAAATAATAGACGGCGATCTAAGCTTTACAAATATGTGTCATTTATTAATTATAATCGCGATTAAGTTACGATAAAACATCAATAATTCTTGGTTTCATTTTTTCTGGGACGCACTGTATATCAAATAGTGTGCATCCTTTTTCACAATATTTTGTTTATAATATATAGGACACATTTTTTGTATTTGTAACAACATTTGTGTGTATTATTTTAACAGGTGACATACAGTGAGCAGCATACCGACGTCACTCTCTACTTCTTCCCATCGTCTAAAGAAGAACAATATAATTGGCTGTGTGATCTAAGATCATGTAAGTCTTTTTCTCTCCTACCGATATGTCCCTTACATGTTTAATTGCTGTAGAATGCCTGCATTTTTTTTAATAGAAATATGACAGTCTTTATATTGTTCATTTGTTTAGTTTCATATTGATTTTATCATATTTTGTGGGGGGGGGGGTGGTACTAACTGTCCAAATAGAAACCTGACTTATTACACTCCAACAAAAGACATAAAAAGCAATATTTAAAGTAGGCAGGTAGTTTTTATACACAGGTTTCCTTTAGTTCATGTTCCAGTGCTATGATATAAATTGTTTCAGTGGTCACTAAAAAATCTCTGTGGAAACAAGTGGTCTTTCTGTACAGGTGATAACTATGTAGCAAGTTTATATTTAATCAAGCTGTTGTCCTAATGTAACTTCTTTGTTGTTTTATTTTTGTGCGTATATCTTCAGTGGTTCAAGCCAATTCAAACCTGAGTGATAGATACCATTATGGTATCTGGACCACCAAGTGGACATGTTGCCAGAAGGATTACAAGGGCGCCCCTGGTTGTCAGAACACATTTAGGCAACAGCCTCAGCCTCAGCATCAACACACTGACAATGGTATACGCCCCCCTGTAAGTATTCCTCCAAGTATCCCTCCAAAATACGTAAATCTACATGTACAACGACATTAACAACATTAAAATGACAATCACTATGGCAATGAAAATGAAATGTATTCCCATGTCACTGATAAACATCATTATTAGAGACTGCAATCATGTAAACAGTCTTCATTCAATAATCATGTATCATCATTATAAACATTGCATATATTTGTAATGCTAATTTGAATAATATGTGTATCCTTTGTAAGTTTTTTACAAAAAGTAGGAGTTAATGTATTGTATTATATTTTCTGTTTTTGAAATGCTATTGACATTATATTTATTACCCAAGGTTATTGTTATTATTCTGTATGTATTTGTGTGTGTTCCTTTATTTCACTTGCTGAATATCTCTGTATGATTTTGTCTTTATCTGTTTGACAGGTACCTCCAACTCCAGTGCCCACTCCAAACCCTACACCTCGTCCTCCTAAACCACCAATCCCCAACCCACCAGTTACAGACAGACCTAAGGTAATTAAGACAAAAACCTCACACTCTACTATAACTTATGTACTTAAAGGTAATACAAAGTTTGGTATAAGGTCATGAATTTGGTTCAAATGAACATATTGGAAGCATATATATGTGATCCTATAATTTCAGTGATTGTGTCAAGGTTGAAATTGTGAATAATAAACTCTTTGTGTTGTATAGCTCCCTCTCAAGATTTATATTACTTTAGCTTCATCAAATGTTTCTTGACTACAATCAACCGATTTTCTATTCCCATTTGGAATATTAAAAAAACCCTGCATATTCTGCGATTTTCATGGTCCCAGCTACCATTGTATGGTCATAGGTGCTATTTGAAATTTATCGGGAGTACCAATAAATTTCATATTTTAATTCCTCTGAATCCTAAGTGCTTAGAGCCCAATTTGTTCAAAGTTGCTTATTCTAACACTAGGTTTCACAATGGTAATGCAAATTTTAAATTTCATAATCCAATCCTGTTAAAATATTACCAAAACTTTGTATTACCTTTAATATACATATTAGCACACACTCTGATGTGCCCTTGGAGGACAATGACTTTAGAAGTAGCCGTGAAGTGTACGTAGGGGTGCACACACTGCACAGTAGATGAAATAGTGCACAACAGAATTTAGAGTTTTCAACAACAAAAATCACAACTTAATTTAGGACAACTTTCTTGAACAATTGGAGAACTATGCACATCCTTGCTGCAACTATTTAGTGACAAAGTGTGAACAGTATTTAACTTTGGCATCAAAGTAAGATGTCCATGATGTTGTGAATAGAACTAATAGCTGGACATGGCGCAGATTACAATGTCTACTGGGCTGTGTGCTACAAAACAGCACTACTTGACATTGACGATGTGAGGCATTGTGGGGCCAAACGTAGAGTCAAGGCAGCTTAGCTTATCCCATCTGTTTCAGAGAGATCTAAAGTACAAGAAAGCCAGATCCCCCTCCATCTCAGTTATACTCTACAGGAAATGAAATTCCACACAATCAAATGTACGAGCTTTAGTAATACAATAATGTTTTACAAACAAATCTGTGTGAACTATGTTGCATTTCATTACATCTGATTGTGTGGTACAAAGAATGATGGCAATATTTGCTCCGTTGCCATTTTTTCTCGTAGTTTTCACCTCCTCATTTTACATTATTGTTATACTTCTTACAGCCATGGATGTTTGATCATTAGGAATATTTTTTTTTCAATTTTGTTTTTGATTCACCAGATGATAGTAATAGCCAAGTATGACTATGATCCCTTGGAGACGATCGATATCCCATTAAAGAGAGGCAAGGAATACTCAGTACTGAATAACTCAAGAGACTACTGGTGGAAAGTCAGGGACAGGCATGGGTAAGATAACATGCATTCTTTTAAATCTAAATTGTATACATATACCCTGCTTCTTCTTCTTCTTTTGTTGAAGTACAGTCACCTTGTTGGAGAATCTTCTTACTTTTTAATTAAGTTATGCAGTTGTATGTACATTGTTGTGTGTGTGTGTCTGTGTTTGAAACCTTCTACATGTTTTATAGTATGGATGGGATGTTGATTGTGTATTAAGGTCTATTGAGATCAATTAGTGTTTTGGTTTGGACAATGTTTGATCACTCATTAGTTCTTTATGTCTGATTGATGACATCTTAACACCTCAAATTGTTGACAAAATTAGTCATGGCATTTAGCCATTTACAGCCTAATAGACAGTCTTTCAGTCACCCTCTTGCACCCCTACCCCTGAATGCTTGTTCATGTAGATAGGACAATTTTATTCTGTGCAAATACTTGTGAATAAAAACATGCCTTAAATGGGATGGAAGTTACGCATTCATAAGAAGATGTGGTTAGGAACTGATGCATCATCGACAAAGGCAACCCCCCCCCCCCCTCCCGACTCTCATACATGTAGATGTAGATATATGTATAGAAAGAATGATGACAGTCATTAATTGATAGAATAGACTGCATAGGCATAGTGGATAGTGGATTTAAAAAATGTATATAATGTAGATGATATTGTTTGAAGTGACAGGAGAGATGACAAAACACTAAAGATCTATGATGATCTATCAAATCAAATCAAATCAACATTTATTTTCTTCCATTCAATTTGACAACATATTTGACATATGCTCAAACAATACAATTTATAAGTAGGAACATAAATATAATTAAAGAACTTGTATTACAAGGAAGAAGGCGCGAAACCCGAAAAGCATAGCTTGTAGTGGGTACGCCCGAATACACAAATACAATTATACATTATAAATAGAAGAAAAGAAGAAAGGAAGAAAGGGATAACTATAGTGTATTTGTGTGTGGTTATGACCATTGCTCAGATAGGTTTTCCTTTGGGTACATTGTTTTTCTGACCAATGTACACATGTATGTGAATAATGTATGTTGTAGCTCTTGCTTTGAACTTGGTAGTCCCTACTGACCACAGAAATACAAGCACCTGTGAGCTGTGGTGTATAAATAGATCCGTCCCTGAGAAGAGACTAAAGACATTTGCTCTCAGCAGGTTGGTTGTAGTCTTGTCAATACAGACCCATATTGATGCATGAATATTATGATATATGAGCGGGTTGGTGTTATTGACTGTCAATGTGGGCTACATGATTGTAGAGGGAGGCCCCATGTTAGTGTATGAGTGGGCTTTATGCAACCATGATTAATGTGATGTGTGATGGAATGGAGAAGATCTTGTGGGTTTCTTGTACTTGAGTACGTAGCATGTGCTAAACACAGACTGTGAATAATGGGCTTCTCACACTGTGAGTCATAATGACTCGTTTAAAGGGACAGGTCAAACAACTGTCAGATCAAGGAAACCGTCCCACTAGCTAGCACACAAGTGTGTCAGTCCGTGGTTGTCATCTTTTAATACCACAGAATTATAAAACATGTGCCCTACTTAAAAAGTGCATGTCAAGGTTCCTTAGCAAACTATTAAAGTGCTATCCCAGACCAGCCAACAGTACAATTGAATTGTATTTAGTACGGTTTTTAGAAGTAAATACGAAAGTACGATTTTCCTAAATAGAATATGATTTTTCACACAAAAATATATTTAATTTTTTTTTTTAATTTTGTGTGTGTATGTGTAACATTTTCAATGGCAAAATGCCCATTCTATCCTGTAAAGTATCCTCCAAGCATGTCACATCGGCAATTTGGGAATGTTCATTGGTTCATTGAACACACCAGTCATGACGAAATCAATCATATTCGACCAATGATCCATACAAAAAATTCTTCCTGTATGTAGGAACCGTGAGAGGCATTGATCCTTGTTTTTAAACAAAATACAATTTTTGTCAGTAAAATACAACTTTTAGGATTGAAGAATACAGTTTTTGAACTCCAGAGGTTGGCAGGTCTGCTACCCAAACCAAAAGTAAAAGCAATATTTGATAAAGCCGATTCTGTAACCATCTCCTTGGTTACAATACCATCCAGGATGCATTTGAAATATAACTACATATAATGAGCTGTCATTAAACTATTGTTAGCTTGATCAATACATGTGTAATCTACAGGGCATGCAATTAGTTGTTAAGTCTTGGTTTCTTTTGTGGGCCCTCACTAGCTGTAAAAACATGTGTCTGTGTCAAAGCTGTTTTGCTGTAGATACATTTTGTATATCTAAAAGGTATATAAGTTCTGGCAAGCTTGATTATGAGCATGTATGGTGAATTAAAACAGAGCATTTTTTTGTATCTTTAAAAAAAAAAAATTTATTAGCCCTCCTTGAAATCAGATATCAGTAGTGCAGTTATGTTTTAACAAAGCAGATTTGAGTTTTCTAAAGCTTCCCAGAGCTATTGAAGAGAAGGTTGAGCTCTGGGAAGAGGTAAAAAATAATTTGTGAGCGTTATCATTGTTATTATGCAAGGGTAGAAGAACATCAGATTAAACATGTTCCCTGAAAAGCATGGCTCTACAAATGCCTTCATATTCTAAATATGACATGAAACATTAAACATAGGATTTTTTCGCCATGTGTTCATATACATGTACATCATTCTGTGTACAGTGCTTGTAACTTTGCCAAGATTTGGCCAAATTTCTTATCATTTTGATGATTCCAGAACCTTGCATTACACACGAATACTTATATGCTAGATGATCAACCTTTTCTGATAGATTCCACACCATTTTTTTCACAATGCAATCACATGACCAGAACTCAACTTTATCTTTAAATTCCTCACCACTGCTTTATAAATGTCTCCTTTTTTCTTCTTTTTTTTTTTTTTTTTTTGCTGTTGGTATTGGAGATAGAAAACCTCATTTCTGCTTATTTGTTTGGTTATTATTGGGATTCCCCTTTAAAATCAAACCATTACCCATCCTATATGATTTTAAGAAGGTTAGAAAATGTGGGTGTTGTTTGCTGAAAGAACAAATGGGATACAAGGCTCATTAATCACTGATGACTGTAAGAGTGATTTAACCACAGGTTGACAACCAATATTCATTATACTGACATTCCATTGTACTATGTATGCAGTATCAGATATTGTGAGTCCATAATACAGTGTGGTTTATAACTTTTAATACACTGTAATGTGAATATAATCATACATGTATACCCGGTAGTGCTAATACCCGGTGTGGTAAATAATTTATATGAATGTATATGATGGGCTAATAGAATACACCTGATGGCTATAGGGACATCCTTTTTATCCCAACATTCAAGAGATGACAATATTAAAGGAAACATCGCCCCAAGAAATAACTTATTCTGAGAGATTTATTATATCATTAAATAAAAAAAAATTGTCAACTGCTATATATTTTAGTACTTATAAATACTTAGTTACACTGTCTTGTTACCCTGTTGTATTTTATTCACCAAATATACTTTCTATCTTCTCGGCTATGGCTTTTCCTCATTGAAATGTAAAGGTTTTGTTATTGATTCTAAAAGTCTTTCCAACTAAGCTTGGTGTATGATACTTTTACAACTTCAAGTGGTATGTCACATTTCAAGAAAATGGTTGCACACATGCTAAAAGGCATCCCAGCATGCCAAGAATGTCTTCATTTATATATCTCTTGTACATTTTCGTAAGGAATATATCATCAAAGTGCAGGAATACATTTCATTTTTCAGAATATCTACACTTATTCTTTGGGTTGACATTTCCTTTAAAACACTATTTTTCAATAACTGATTACAAATTCTGTATTTTTCACTTTCATTCATGTACATGTAATTTTTAATCAGTAAGTTAACCTGCCATTTATGGTCATTGATTGCAACTGCTAGATGCATTATTACATATCATGCCTGTAATTCATCTTGGCATACTCCTAACAATATAAGATTAGAGAGAGAGAGAGGGGGGGAGGGGAGAGGATGAGGGAGAGGGAGCGCCAAGCTTATTACAAGCGCAACAATGTGGAGTATCATTTCTGTCACAAAGCTGTTCTTAAAGTTACGCATGACATTACGAATGACTTAAATATGAAAAGCTAAATGGGATGCTCAATCATTATTAACTGCATCAACTAAAGTTGAACTGTGCAGATGTAGTTTAACATTCTTTTATACATGTAACAAACATTTTTAATGCAAAGTATATTTTTTGGCAATCATTTAATTGAGGTTATTGGAAATATAGTCACACTTTGTTAAAACATCAGGAAAAACTTTGGGCATCCTCTCTGGCACTTCATATACAAGTCGTTTGTAAAGTCATGTGTTCCTTTATGAACAGCTTTATTAAACACCCCCCTGTAAGAACGCTTCTTCTTTCCAATGTTCATACTAAACCATGTGTGATGATATTGTATTAAATGTAAGATCTATAAAAACCTGAATATGATCGGAAGTCATGCTCAGGTAATGAATGTTACGGTACTAGAACGGAAGAAGATTGTCCAATCAAATTTCCTTATTTGCTGTGTGGTACAGTACATCATGAGTTTGGTTTTGATTACCGTATACATGTAAGTGCTTAAATGATCGATCACATTGACGTCAAACTATGTGTAGTTTTCAAACGTAGTTTCAATGTAAGAACTCTTCAATTAGCAGTCTTTCCAAAGTGATTGTATTGTTGTATCTTGATTGTATAAGGATGTGTTTAATAGACATTGCACATTTTGATAGTATTAACCACAGCATACATGCAGTTACGTTATTGGTCAAAGTTCATCTATATAGGAAGTTTGTTACATATATGTGCAGCTGAAAATGATATTCATTCTCCCTTTAAATTGGGTTGATATATTATGGTTTAATATTAAACTATCAGGATTTTTTTTAAAACAATATTATTGGTTAAGATTGATAAACTCTCATTATTTTCTGTAGAGTACATTTGTCTTGTATCTTTGTGGTACGTGCTAGATCTTTTCACTTCAAAGCCATACATACATGTATAAAAAGCTTTATACAGTTGGGTCTAAAAGTTTACATACACCTGGAAGAAAAGAATTTTACCAACATTTTCATGAATCCACTCATTTCTATCAGGAGTCACATATATTAATGTCTCAGAGTGATAAAAAGTATATAGTATATATACAAAGACTTCTGAGGTAAAAAGTTGGCAGGAATGGTTGAAGTTGTGATAATGTATATGGCTTTTCTATGTTTGTAGACCCAACTGTACATGTATGCACTGTGTTCTAGTACCTTTTATAGAATAGGTTCTCATTTGACCAGTTGTAGTAACATAGAATGAGTGTGTGTGTGGATGAGCGTAATAACATGGATTTCCTGCGATGCGGATTAATCCATTGATTCTAAGTACCCCACATACTAGCTTCATGTCCGCATTACATCACGCTGACTGACCTATATCCTCATTGAACTTGTTCATCAAACACTAATCTAGAGTAACAGAGCTTACTCGAGCTGTCATCTTCAATAAGAGATAATTTGCAGTCAATTGGCAACCATTAGCTGATTGTTGCGTGATTAGTAGAACCTCACCATCCAGCCATATTTAACTCCTACCTGTGAATCATCTGGAACTCACGTATGATATGGATATTTGTCGGCTACACTATTAGATGTAATTATGGAATGAATGCTGAATGAAACATGTGATTAACATGATTTACACATGAAAAAAACACACAGATTATTAGAAAAGATTTTGAGATTGGAGAGCATTCAGAGAATGAAAATTTAAGACATACTTTCAAAAGAGTTACACATTATTAGTTTAAAAATAAGGACAACTTAGAAATAAATACAATAATAATAATAATAATACACTATTTCTTATGCGCCATCGATCTAGTAAACTATTCTGAGGCGCATTGGAATAGAATTAGAATGAGATACATAGAGAAATGAGAAGGGGGGAGGAAAGAAAAGAAGACAAAAAAATGCATAGATGTACATTCAACATATGTAATTAACTAAAATAACATGCGAACATATATGACTTTAGATTCTTTTTAAATGTTTCTAGGGATTCTAGTGATCGGATTCTCAGTGGAAAAGCATTCCAAAGAGATGGCGCTGCAGATAATTAGCACTTAAATGAATGGGACATGTTTGGGAGTTCATACTATCATCCTCACTGACTTACTTTCTGGTTACAATGAATATCATAAATCATGAGATTGCATAAAGAGTGGGTGTGTTAATAAATCACACCTTCCTATTAAACATCAAACACTGCTTTGTCGGTAAGTGACTTGGGAAATGGATCCGCCATTCACTATACAAGCCACATAATGTATGCATACAATATAGCTTACTCTGTTATCAGTATGATATGATATTAAACAGGAAGACTAGATTTTATGTAGGCTTCCTTCCTGCCTATTATATCCAGGGTATAATCTTATTTCAAGAATTTCTGATAATTATATCAAATTTTTTTCTTATCAGAATAAAAATAAATTCTTCAAAGATAATGTGATATGCCGAACTCCAGGAAACAGTGTATATCCTGGTCAAATTATTTGATATTATTCCTAAATGAGGAAGAGAGTAATATATCCATGAATGTGATATGATATATGAAAAGATCCTTTTCTATATTTTGATGGTATTTTTAGGTTAATGTTAAAGAGAAACATGTACTATTTTGTATTATTATGAGGTACTATATATGCTGCTTTAAATATCTAGATCAGCAACAACCACATTCAAAACACATAAAAATACTTTCAAAATAATTTTAGATTGTATATGCATTTATCTATAAGTAAATAAATTGCAAAATTAATTAATTGATTTTTTTTCCTTCTATTTCTCTTACATTATTTCTCTTTATTTTTCTCTCTTCTGCCTTTTCTTGTTCTCTCTCTCTCTATCTCTCTCTCTCTCTCTCTCTCTCTCTCTCTCTATCTATCTATATATCTATCTCTCTTTTTCTTTCCCACTTCTCTCTTTGTCCAAACTATTTTCTTATTTTACCCTTTACAGACGTGAAGGTTTTATACCTAGCAACTATGTAGAAGAAAAGAGTAAATATTCAACAGGCCTAGAAAGATATGAGTAAGTACCCTGAGTGTGTTAAGTTCTTTCCAGTTTCATGTTGAGGTAACAAAATAATGATAATAATAATAATAATAATACTCAGTTCTTATATAGCGCTTATTAGAATCACTAAGCGCTTCCAAACTTGGAGATTATTACCCCGGCTTTAGCTGTGCTGCCATTGCGGTGCTCTAGACGAATTAATTCTGCCAGGTACCCATTTACATCACCTAGGTTGAGTGTGGCAATTGTAGATCAATGTCTTGCCAAAGGACATTAGTGCCGCGGCGGGTCTCGAACCGCGGACCTTGTGATCAACAGTCCGGCGACTTAACCACTCGACCACGGCACCTCTACAAAACATGAATTCTCGTTGATGAGAATATTGCACCTCTACCTACCCCCTCCCCCTTAATTGGATTTTTCTCTCTAAGGCTAAGAGAGGTAGATTTTGGAGTCTGTATAAACATCAGGCCCTTCTTAACAAATTTGACATTTTGGGGTTCAGTATGAGATTTTGTATGTTCATATGTGTACTATACCCCCAATATTGTGCAAAACTGACTTAATGGCTACCCGGTAGGATGCGATCGTCATTTTTGGTTAAACAGTTTTTGAGCGTTAAGTCACGACCTGGCTGGAATGCTCCCCAGGGAGTGGAGATTGTGCATACAGTGTGTGCGGGCAAGCACTGAATCCAATGACCAGCGTAATAGTATATATCTGTAAAGCGCTTAGAGACGTCCAAGATGTATTAAGCGCTATATAAAAGCTGAATATTATTAGTAGTAGTAGTCATACAGTTTATTTATTTCTCATGTTGAAAGGTAGGGACATTTTTTATTTTATTTCTGTTACTTTTCTAAAAAGAGCATTTGAAGGGGGGAAAGGGTCATTTGTTTGGATGCAATATATTATGGTTGAAAAAATACTAGCATAACTCTGAACATGAGTCAATACTTAGATCAGGAACTACATGTATTTTCAAATCTGTTTGAACTAGTTTTTTCTCTAATCATTGTTGTTTTATGTAGTAGACAAAGAAAACACATGTAGTATAACAGTGTACATGTAGATACGTTTAGGACAGATACTTGGCAATCTAATCAAGAGTTAATGTTTATCAAAGGCTTACATAAACAGGATGGGAAGTGACATAGTACTTGGCTTGTTTTATGAAGTGAAAAGAAAAATAACACAGACACTTATGTATCCCTGTAGTTTAAAACCCTTCTTTGTCATCAACGAAACCTGACAGAGAATGTGAATGCTCTACTTTGATGTTGGACATGAATACCTAAATTCTATAATTCTTGGAACTTACTGTATACCCGTATACAGAAAATTTGAATGACAGTTTAATAGAAGATATTTATACCAGGTGAAGCCAAATTTAACAAAGGAGCAAAGAATCATTAACTGCAAATTTTACTTGTGCAAGTTAATTTCACGTAATCATTCATAAATCTAGTTGCATAGATTGGGGGAAAATAAATAGATGATATTAATTGTAGAATTACATTGTATACAATAATTTGGCACTGATCAGCAATTTTATTACAGCCTCTTAGCAGTACTACCATCTCTCTGTAATAAATTGTGGTACATGTACATATATTGAAGAAAAACAAAATTCTTCCTCTCTTTAAAGCTGGTTTAATGGAACATGGTCAAGACAAAGAACAGAACTGGAGCTGAAACAGGAAAGCAAAGAAGGCTGCTTTACTGTAAGGAATTCACGCACACCAGGGCTATGTACACTCTCAGTATTAGCCAAAGAAAAAGGGTGAGTAACCTAATCTATCCGTCATACTAACAAGACTAACACCAGAACAACTTTCAGACTGAACCAAGTATTGCATGAATCCCAAAAGCAAAGAATTGGTCAGTTTTTAGTGGATTTGGTGGTGAGATGGAAGTTTTGATGTAAAAGCTTAAATTCTAGTAATGATATCTATCTTGAGGGAAGGAAGCTAAAACGTAGCTGAAATTGATGTTAAATTTTTTATCATGCAGTACTAGGATGGCTGTTCACCAGTCTAATAAATCTGAAATGTTACAGACCAATGAATCTTCTTCTGATAATGAATACTGATCAGGGAAGAATGTCATTATTATATTCTCCTCTTTTATAAATTTTATAAATTCAAACCAGAGGAAAACACTAGTCTGAATTCATGTTCAAGTAGAGCCATTAGCAATAATTGAATAGTAATCAGTTTCTCATGCAAATCCCCTTCCCATTTCCATGTATATACAGACCGAGTGGAGAAGATGTTGTAAGACACTACCATATCAAACAGAACTCGATTAAGGAGTTTTACGTCGCTGAGAAACATTGTTTCAGGGATATGGGTAAACTGGTCGAGTATCACCAACACAACGCAGGAGGTGAGTAGAAGATATCCTTTAATAATAATAATAATAATATCAAATATTTAGGAGCGCTAAAAACAATAAGTACCATAGCGCTTACAAACACAGTTATATGAAAAGAGGACAAAAATGTACAGTACAGGAAGTATATCACATAGATCATTGGGGAAAAGGTTGAGTTTTGAGGGATCTTTTGAAGGTGGCAAGACAGGTAATTTCCCTTATGGAAAGAGGGATGCTGTTCCAAGTCATTGATGCAGCTACTGCAAAACGTTTTTCAGCTGCTGAGAGTCTAGATTTGGGAATGATAAGTTTATGTTTGGCTGCCTATCTTGCATTCCTTTCACTGCTTCCCGGTTCTCTCATTTGTCCATACTTACGTATCAACTATAAAGTATTATTATAGTTCACTAATGCAGAACAGGATGTGTTCAAAGTACAAGTGGCAGACTGTGGGCTCTTTATTAGAAATATTCCAGCAAAAAACAAAACAAAACAAACACAAAAATCTATTTGAACTACCGGTATTGTTTAAAGCCCATGAAGTCCTTGGAAAATTATCCAACCCCACTAAGAACAAAAAAGAGAGAGAAATAAAAATAATGAAAAATAGGAAATTACTTAACTGCAATAAATAAAGAAATTGTCTTAGTTTGTTTATTTTATGTAATATATAAGGATGATAAGATAATGACTGTTACCCACTACTGTAAGTATTTGTTTCTCCTTGAGTGGAGTATAACGTAAGTAGGATAGAATATAATTCATGTTTGTGATTGTAAGCTCTATTACCCGTAGACTTCCTCAATACTCGTATTTCCTGTTGCACCATTAAAAGGTGGATATAAGGTCAATAGATTCATACAATATGAATATATCCTAGATAAACAGGATCTAACTCTTCGCTTGTAATTGTGAGTTTTCCCATTTCTTTAAATAAGTTAGTAAGAAAAAGGGTTGTCATGTAATAATTTGGTTTATTTATATATACACACAATTGATTTGTGTACCCTCCTTCATGCTTGTTTGTTGTAGGTTTAATAACAAGGTTACGCAATCCACCTGGGTTTACATTACCAACCACAGCAGGCCTGGGATCAAGTGAGTATACATCAACTTACTGCTCATGTGTAATGTAGACTTGTTAAGGTTGTTAAATTTAGGTTTTCTGTTCTAAGTGTTAATCTTTCTAGAGTACCATAATTTTAGCCCCTGATTTCAACTGATTTGAAAATCATCACAATAACTTACACCAAGTTTAAATATTACTAAAATTCTATATTATTTTCTTAGCAGTTTTTAATTTGCACTCTTGTACAAATTATTTTGTTGTTAAATGTCCTTTAAGTTCACAAGGCATGATCATGATTGTGTGATATTTCCAGGTTTTCCAGGTTTTGTAGGTGTTAAAAGTTTAGATTATGTTTAGATTATTGACTTTCATACGATTGATTTCTTTTCACAGCTAAATGGGAGATCAACAGGTCAGAGCTGAAGATCCTACAGGAGTTAGGAAGAGGTCAGTTTGGTATTGTCCATTTGGCTAAACTGACCCATAATAACCGGTTTGTAGCGGTGAAGAGAATGCAGGAAGGATCTATGTCAGAAGAAGACTTCATTGATGAGGCTAAAGTCATGAAGTAAGTCTATGTCTGCATTATGTAAGACAGGTGGTGGTGAGGTGCCATGGCTGATGCTATGTCAGTGATAATGGTGGTGGTAGTGATGATGATGATGATGACGACGACGACGACGACGACGACGATGGTGACTACGAGAAAGAGAGAGAAGAGGATGACAGTGAAAAGGATGAGTTGTACATACAAAAGAAAAATAAAGAAGCCTCTGTTCATGATTATAGAGATAAATGACAAGAACATTTACAATTATTGAATTAAGAAGAGGGATGATGATGGTATCAGAAGTGGTGATGTTGGTTTGATGTTGATAATGCTATATTACATGATTACAATGGCAATAGATTTTAAGGATCAGAATGTATTAACCCATTGATTTGCGATATTATAAGTACATGTAATATTTAGTAACATCAAATAATAATTATTCATGAAAAGAAAGGGAAGAAGAGTTTTATTTTATAGAAATACTGACTTCATTTATTTTCTCTTTTTGCAGGGAGTTACAACATGAAAACCTTGTGCAGCTGTATGGTGTGACGTCAGCGCAAAGACCAATGTGTATCGTCACAGAATACATGTCAAAAGGTAACAAGCCACATAACAACTGTATTCATCTCACTTGATTTATTGAATTAAATCTATCAAATTGTCACAAAAATACTTAAATCCTGTCTTGCTTTAGATGTTGAAAGCACTCAGTATTCAATCTCTTCAAAATAACTGCATGTCAATAATAAAATGTGCATGACATGGGTTGTAATGTGGTAGCACATTTTGTATGGGTTATAATCTATGTATCAAATTAGAACCAGTATACTCAGTATGATACTATTGCAATAGAGTAGAATGGCAATTATATAAACCACATTTAAATCTACCACTTTGTTTACCTCACCCCACCCCGCCCACTACCACTTCCACCACCTGTTCCACCACCTGTACCACCTCTATCACAGGTTGCCTGTTGTCGTACCTGAGAACACACAAGTTCATGTTACTAGAGAACACAGCAATACTGATCTACATGACACAGCAGGTGTGCTTTGGTATGGCCTATCTAGAATCCAAAGGCTTCATTCACAGAGACTTGGTAAGTCAATACACCACCAGAAGTCAAATGCTACTTTCTATGGCAAATGAAATATGATGTAATGATTCCTACTTTATTTACATTAGCTTTTTAAGAGTTTAGGGGAAAATTACAGGATACCTAGGATACATTCAGATATTGTTGAATCTTAGAGAAAGAATTGCCCAAACTTGTATTTGCTCTGAAATGCTATTGGATATTCTGAATTGCATATGCCGGTAAGCTGTACAGCTTGATGTACAACTTTGTGTGCATTATGATATTGTGTGTACCAACAGCTAAAAAGACTCTCACCCTTGTAATAGGAATTCAACAGAAATAAATGTTCAATCTTATTTATACAGTTGTAACTACTGTAACATGGTACATAGTCTTGATATGTGAGCAATAATACTACTGATCATTGTAGGTATTATCCCCTTTGATATATTTGCATATATGATAAAAGTCAAGAATCGCCAACACAATACCACTCCAGTCTGTTTAATGTACCATTTTTTTCTTATTCATTTTCAGGCGGCCAGGAATTGTCTTGTTGGTGACAAGCATATTGTCAAAGTAGCTGATTTTGGTCTTACAAGGTAATTACACCTCTTTCTCAACCGCATTCTAGGCATGTTTATACAGTCTTGTTTCTCTTTTTAAAGGTCCTATCGGAAGTGAAAAAAGAAAAAAAATGAGCTATATATCAACGAAAAGCTTATAACACTATGAATATGACGGACAAAGAAAGAGGACAAAATATACACTTCCTCATTCTACCCTCAACAATTGCTGTGGTAGACAAAGGAACATCCCTTCACTGCTACTATGTAAAAATGTGTAGAACAGGTGTATTCACCTGCTCTACACATTTTTACATAATAGCAGTGAAGGGATGTTCCTTTGTCTACCACAGCAATTGTTGAGGGTAGAATGAGGAAGTGTATATTTTGTCCTCTTTCTTTGTCCGTCATGTTCATAGTATATAAGCCATATTAAAAAAACTATATTAGTTACATGTATATGCTATTTTAGTGTCTGTCAGAGGAGTAACAGCTCTCCGAAAACTTGAAACATAAAGCTTGGAAATAGGAAGTGGTCGACCTAAAAACTTGATGGACTAGATGACTTCATTTTATATGGAGTACACATTTTAACAAGGACGTTGCATTAATTGAACATGGCTCATTGCCTCAGCTAAATAGGGGAGCCGATCTGGTCTACATGTTATGTCGTCACAGTAACTGCGGGATAATTGACCCCTGTTGACCCATAATTTGGAGGGGTGCGGAAAATGAGGTTTTACTTTGCTTTTGTGCAATACTGAAAGAGAAAATATTGTTCATTTCTTTATATTTGTGTTCTATGTTTATTCAGCTTTCCATTGATATCAAGTTGTATTTTAATCAGATAAGGTCTCTAATATCACGCGGAAATTGTTTCCATTTATCATAAACCTAAGATGAGCATTTTCCCTCCTCAATTTTCTTGAAAGTTTATTGTAATTGATTGTTTTTTGTGTTACATCCGTATTTTTCTTTCCCTCTGTCTAATTTGTAATTTGTACTTACTGTACTGTTCTTGTATTCCCATTCAGTTTCTTTTTCATCGGTATCATTTTTTATATTTCTATAAGTAAACTCCGAATCTGAAAAAAAGAATTAAATGTATACTAACTGATTGTCTATTTTGCTTGTGTAGGTATGTAATGGATGATGAGTATACCAGCTCAGGGACTAAGTTTCTAATATCTGATTGTCTATTTTGCTTGTGTAGGTATGTAATGGATGATGAGTATACCAGCTCAGGGACTAAGTTTCTAATATCTGATTGTCTATTTTGCTTGTTTAGGTATGTAATGGATGATGAGTATACCAGCTCAGGGACTAAGTTCCCCATCAAGTGGGCTCCACCTGAAGTACTTCATTACACAAGATTCAGCAGCAAGTCGGATGTATGGGCTTTTGGTAAGTAACATTGACAGTTAGATGGGCACTGCATGATACTTATATCATACAAGTAGGTGCGCGTGATGCAGTAATAGAAAATATAAAGTACAATGACGAAACATAAGTGTCATGGAATTGCGTCAGTCAGGATCGTTCCCAGGAGTAATATTTACAACTAAAATATCCCATACAATTCAGTTGATAATTTTCTAATCATCACTAATTTATAAGAGTTTTTCACTTAACTGTACACCCAAAGCATTATTTAGATTAAATAGTAATACCCATACTGTTAACCTAAAGTCATGTTCTTGAGAAACTTATACTGCAGAAAATTATCAGATTATACAGTCGAACCTGCTTTAGTGACCACCTGTCAACAAACACCACATATTTTGTTTCCCTTGAAAATGGCTTCTCATTGAAACATGTACTGAAGGAACCTGTCTACAAAGACCATTGTTTCTGTTTTCCTTGGGCAGTCGCTATAGACAGGTTTGACTGTAGCAAAAGAATAGTTTAGGACACACATTGTAAATATGATCAGAGTCATAAAAGGTTGTTTAAAGGGGAAAGCAAACACTAGGGAGACGGCGCAAGGCTTTCCTGGATGATCCTCAGGCAAGTTGGAGAAATGTTGGTTTGTTTGAGAAGATCCAAAACAATAGAGAGACAGTTGTTTGATAAGATGATAGGGTGGGTCTGTCTTTGGCTAGATGACTAGTATTGATGATGCTGAACGCTAATCTCTGTAGGTATCTTGATGTGGGAGGTGTTCTCTGGTGGTCTAGCTCCATACCCTGCTATGAGCAACGTAGAGGTCGTGGATCAGGTCACAAGGCATAACTATCGTATGGAACGTCCTGATCATTGCCCTTATCAGATGTACCGTATCATGAAGGATTGCTGGAGAGAGGTAAGTGTGTGCGTGTGTGTATTGGGTTTTTACAGTTGGTATCAATCAGTTATGATTATAAACGTCTGGGGACCGACCTTTAAACGTCACCATCCAAAATACGTGACTCAGTTTCGAACCTGCATCCTCGGCTGAATCAGTTTGTAACTTCCATTGTTAGCTGGATTAGAGAGGCACGCTACAATGCCCAGTTAAGATTTGATTTGATTGTTACAGTTTTATTTTGAGAGGAGATGTACAATGACCATCTATGCCATACAAACATCATGTTGATTTGGCATATCAAGTTTGGTTATTTGGTTTACTGATTCAGTGTATGTTTTTATTTTATATATAAATTTGCAAAATAACTATTCTTGACAAAAGAATCAATAATAAGTTTTTTGGGAATTTTAACCAGGATTGCTTTGCAAAGTTTTGCCTATAGTATATACTACTCCCTAACTGTAGAGCAAACACAACAATTTTACATGGCACTGACTTGTGATTTCTTTCATTATGTACTTTATAAACCGTTTTTTTCATGGCATATAGGTCTGCTTTACCTGACATTTTTCTTTTCGTTTTGGGGGTACAAAAATACTTTGGATTGACCTAAGATATTAGAAATGCTTTGTGTGTGTAAGCACTTTCAAATGAATTACAGAGCTCCTAATATTTAATTGTAATAACTTGCTCTGAGCTATTTTCTTGAACTGTAATATCTGTTTTGTATATCATGACTGTCCTACCAACCACGTCTTTCTTATCTGGTGATATCAATTGATTTCTATTACATTTTTCTTGACAATACATCCTTATATTACTTTGTTTTGAACAGAAAACAGACGATAGACCATCATTTTCTACATTAATTGGAAAACTAGACCAGCTATCAGACAAGACAGAGTTCCATCATTCGTGACATCCGCTTCGTAACTGAAACGTTGATGTGGTGAGTATACACATCTTAAAAACCGTCAACACTACTGGGCCAGAAAGGATTAGACCACACAGGGAGGTCACTGACAGTTGGCTCTCTCATTAACTCAACTCTCAACTAACATAAGAAAAAGAGGATCATGGGGGACGAATAGGCACCGAATGGGGAAGTTTTCTATATAGAGTAGGACAGTGGGGCTTTAAAGAGAAGGTTTACTTCAGATGAAGATGAACAATAATTATGAGCTTTATCATTCTTTTTACCTCAATTTCAAAGAAAGTAGTAGTTGAAATATCCCCTGAAAGGGATTGCTCTGTATATGCCCTCATATTCATAATATGGGTGTGTAGTCCCACATACCCATTATTGCCTGCAGTTCATGTGATTTTCAGCAAGAATGAATCAATTTCTTTTGATTTTTAACATTCTTAAACATAAAACATAGTATACATTAATTCATATGTACTACATAACCTTTCCCAATTGCTTCTAGACATTTTCTTTCACAATTTAAACAAATGACTAGTTCTCAACTTCATCTCTTAAGTACATCCGGACATCACCTAAACCCAACACAAAACCTGATGAGATTAAGAAACTATTAGAAATATAGAGAAGTAAAAGGAGGGCCATTAAATAAATATGATTGATGTTCCATACTTGAGTAGGATACTTAATGCATTACATTTCTTTGTAAGTGTGTGTTGTCATTGCTGTAAGATTACGATATATTGTATTATATACCTCACTTAAGAAATCCAGCCATCTGATTGGTCGAATTGCATTCATAAACTTCAACTGTTCCTGTAAAATTCTCGGTAACCATGCATAAAACATTTCAATATTTTTAATAACCATGGTTATTAAAAAAAGTTGGTCAGCGTCCATGGTTACCCCATAGGTTTACATGTTAAAAATGGTTTGAGCGATGGAGGATGCCGTATGTGTGCGAAGGATTGGTCGGTAATTTCAATACAATTGAATCTCGATCGATCTTACCGACAATTTTATCTTGCATTGTTGACATGAAGACGAAAATAAACTTCCAAAAACAAAAAAACAACATCTGCCGATAGATCTTGATCTAAGTTCGTGCCAATATGCATTGCAAAAGTAAAAAAAGAGTCCGTATATGGAGCTTTTGCGAAGCATTCATCACACGCGAAGCCGGTTTCAATCCATTTTAATGTATATATTGGAAAAAACTGCCAAGCATGTTAACGGCGGGCCATAGCCGAGTGGTCTAAGCGTTGGTTTTCGGTACACCTTTTGTTGTACGCAAGGGTTCGAATCCCGTCTTCGACAAAAATGATAAATATTTTTAATTTTTCATTTTTTAGTCTATTTTTTTCGGCATATAAAAGTATTAATGACTGCTAGTATTAAAAACAACATCTGCCGATAGATCTTGATCTAAGTTCGTGCCAATATGCATTGCAAAAGTAAAAGAAGAGTCCGTATATGGAGCTTTTGCGAAGCATTCATCACACGCGAAGCCGGTTTCAATCCATTTTAATGTATATATTGGAAAAAACTGCCAAGCGTGTTAACGGCGGGCCATAGCCGAGTGGTCTAAGCGTTGGTTTTCGGTACACCTCTTGTTGTACGCAAGGGTTCGAATCCCGTCTTCGACAAAAATTAAAAATATTTTTCATTTTTCATTTTTTAGTCTATTTTTTTTCGGCATATAAAAGTATTAATGACTGCTTTAATATTCGAGAAATAGTTGTTTTCATACGCTCTCGGGAAGGTTAGAATTGGGCTATTCCCTCGGCAAGCCTCGGGGAATAGCACAATTCTAACCTTCCCTTGAGCGTAATAAAACAACTATTTCTCTCAAAGCAGTCATTAATACTATAATACATGACATCTAACTTTTGTGCATGTTTCTTCCTTATGTTCTTTGGCAGTGTGCTAAGGTTTACAACTCAAATGGTCCTAGTCTCCAGTGCCCAGTCACTTCGTTGTGATGGGATTGTGTCCTAGTCTCCAGTGCCCAGTCACTTCATCAAGATGGGAATGTCATTAGTCTCCAGTGCCCAGTCGCTTCTTTGATGTGGGAATGTGATTTGTCTCCAGTGCCCAGTCACTTTATTGCGATGGAAATGTGATTAGTCTTGAGTGCCCAGTCACTTCATTCAGATGGGAATGTGATGTTGCCTGCAACGCCCTATTACATCACCAAGAAAATACTCTCCAATTCTACTTGAGAGAATGTATGCATGTTGAATTTTGAGCAAAAATGAAAAAGAGAGAACTGTAAAAGAACCGTTTGTAGCCACCAATGATCAGAGGCTAATACAAGGATTCTAAGGGACTGTGTGATGAGCTTGCATTGGGACTTAAACTGAGATTGTTTTACTCTATAAAGAAGGGCTGCCTCCTTAGAGTGAAAATGAGCTGTCAAAAACCAGCATTTGTGATTCCAGAGAATGTGTCACGTCAATCCTAGTCTACAAACACAGTCTCTGTTCTACAAACTTCACTGTGTCCTAGATTAATCCTAAACAGGTTGAGATGGTACCAAATGGTCAGGGATGATTCTAGTAGGAGACCTTCATACAAGGCATGTACATGTGAGAATTGGTCTGCAGAGCCAATAGCCTCAGAGCCAATATAAGTGTAAAAGGTTTATGACTGCATTCCTCACTACTACATGCATCAACGTGTAGCTATCTTTTCTCTCATTCGATAACCCATTCACATACATGACAAGTGCAGATTATTCACAAAGACTAAGATGGACTTAAGTTGGACTTGAATTAAGGCAGGCCATTCAGGCCACTGGTTGCTCTCACCATTGGTCTCTCAAGGGACGTCACAAATCTACAGAATTGAACAATTTTTATAGTTTATTGTTGAAGAAAAAAACATTGTAAACTATTATACTCCGTAGGCAAATTATGCCCTTAAAAATTTGAACCAGATGTAAAAAATGAGGAAAAAACCCTTGGAACTTATGCTCTTTAGATAACATTGTTCCTAAATCATGAACTATCAAAAAATATAAATTTTATAGATTTGTGACCACTATCTGTACTTCCCTTGAGAGACGGATGCCACGAATGATGAGAGCAACCAGTAGCATGAACGGCCTGCCATAGTTCTAGTCTGATGTAAGTCAATCTTAGTGTTTGTGAAACACTCCCCAGGTCAGATTATTCCAACAACCCACCAATACAATCCAATAGAACAGAGTTATTCAAACACTTTGTGAAGAAAATGCTTCTAAAAAATTAGAATTGTGGAATTAATGCTTTCCTTAACTTTCAGTAATGTTGATACTAGCCAATCATGTCAACTCAAAGTTAGACTGGCTCCTTCAATGCAAATATGGCCAAGGTATTATTATAATGTTCATCATGTTTCATGGTTGTTCATTACTTTGGATTTATTTTTTTACCATTACACAATTCTCATTATTGTAAGTAACTTTATGTTTTCATTAAAAATTTGTTTTGTACCTGTACTCGTCATTACTCACGTTTTATACACTATGTAGATACTTTTTCTATTGTATGTAAAATACTATCACAGTTTTGAGAAGTCTTCTAATAAAAATTAAACACATTCCTTCTAAAATGCCCATTCAAGGTAAGGAGCATCCAATTCAACTTGACAATAAAGTAAATACAAGAAGAGATTAACATTTCTTGTGTACATTGTGGCTGTAGAATGTTTGCATTCATGTAAGCAAAGCACAAACTTTTGATACAACTTATGCGCAGTTGCCAATTCATTCTTAAATCTTTATTCATTAATAAATCTTCTTCTCTTATTATCTTGTTGAGAACCTTTAGGGACATAATTCTAGGGGAATGTATTAGTATCATCATGCAGATTTTTCTTTGATGGAGTTAGTATGATTTATTTCTGTATTTGTCTCCAGAGATTAGGGGGGGGGGTGCTAACCTTCTTGTTTTTTGACAGTTACATATTTTTTCTTCAGCCAAAGGAGCTTTGAAATCAAGGGAAATATTGCCAAAATTAGTCTTAAACCCTGTTCTATTTCAACAGAAGTTCTATAAGCTATTCCTTCATTTTTTCATAGAGTCTCAAGAAAAGTGAGCTTGTGTATATCCTGTTGTATAATGAAAGGCAAAGAGACTTTTAAGAAGCATCATAACAATCTCATTATTATTTATTCAGAGAGGCATTCCAAAAGATACTTTTCAATTCCTTACTACATGTTCTTTCAAAGAGTGAGTTTAATTGAGTAAAATGTAGTGTGAAAGGTCTTCAAACAATCTTTGCTCTGAGTATTGAAGGTTCATTTCTTTCTTCCTATTTTGACAATTTGTGTTATGAAATGCCTTAAATGTCGCTAATTAAGAAACCTTTTGTATAGATAATTAGAAATCACTACATTGTTTTGCATACACAAGATACTATGCAATAGATGCCATTGTGTTAATATATACTTCATATTAATTGCTCAATATACTATCATTATCTGTGTATATTTTAGTGAATGGCACTTATTCCTTTGGGAATGAAGAACTTTACTGATGTACTTCCAAGACATTTTTACATTTTTCTGGGTTTTTAAAAATCAATTCTTTGACATGTTTTATAATTTTTATACATTTGAAATATTTGGATATCAATTTTTACAGAAGCAATATATTTTTTTAAAGAGTGTGTTATACATTTTCTACGGCTGCAGTTTGCATGTTTTGCATATTATTTTTGCACAATCAGGTCTTTGGAAATTTTGGTAGCAGTCATTTTTTAGATTTGTATTATAATCAGACGTTACTAATGAACTTGGATATATTTCTAAAATACTGTTTAGCATATTTTGTGCCATTACACAAAATATTGTGAATGAAAAGAAACTACACATAATTGTGGATATATCTCTATAAGATGAACATTATTACAGATTTCAGGCAGACATGTTTTGTGGCTTTGAAAATGCATTGAGTAAAAAGAAAGAAATACAAAGTCATTCCCTTTTAAAAAGAAATAAATACAAAGTAATTTCCTTTTAACACACAGTTTCTGGGGTTTTATTTTTCAACAATTTTAATATATTCAGACACTCTCTTCCTGGAAATACTAAAGGGAACTTGTAAGTGTGTGATGTGTCCAAGATTTAAGCTTTGTTTAATTCCATTCCATTTCATACTTATTATTAACAGCACAGAAATCATTTATGTTAGTCACTCCTTCCCTACTTGAAGTGCAAAGCCACTTTGCAGCAAACTAAAATTCAAGTGTGTATTCTTTTCTGGATCATCATTCCATGAATTGGTTATGTACACACAAAGTATATCTTCATGAGAATCTTTCCTTTTGATAATATAACAATATTTTTTTTACTGCCTTATTACTGTTTACAATTGGATTTGCTGTATATATTCCATTAAACTAGGTGCCTCCATTATTACAATTTTGCAATTTTTGTAAATTTGTTGTAACATGTACTTTGTTTTATAAGGAATCAATTATCAGCAGTGTTTTTTTATAGTTTATTTTTAGCAATAATATGATTACAAAGTTCACATCAACTCAAAATGTATCATGAATTGCTTTCAATGAAAGCATTTAATTTGGGCCTTTTTTATAAAGAGGTTGGGATTCTCAAGAAGCCATTCTGAGTCTTCCATGAATCACACGTCTACTGTAAAACAAGTTTCATAAGTGGTCGAGAACAAATTTGGCTGTTATTACAGTTTTATTTCAAAAAAGTTTCTAGTTCTATAGTATGCTTGCCCCTGATATTCTATTAGCTGCAATTAATATCAAATTCAAGGAGAGCTTAATATTGAGCTCACATTTTATGAGATGGGGGGTCTAGTTGCTGTTGTATGTATGTATGTATGATTGTGAAAGTAGTTAATATTGAGCTTACATATTATGAGATGGGGGTCTAGTTGCTGTTGAGCTATGTATGATCGTTAAAGTAGTTAAAATGGAGATGCCGTTTTCCTACTTTGTAAATCTGAGAATAATTTCCATGATTGCAAACACTTTGAACAACTTGGGGTCAATTTTAATACCCTTTGGCATTACTTATGGAATCATGTTATGATTATATATTACTGATCGTTATAATGTTTTGTTATATTTATGACTGATTGGTTCAGCTATTGATATTGCCCTTGTATCAATATCTTAAAAACCATTTCAGATTGTTACTTCAATCCTGCCAATATGTATAGTTTGTAATACTCAAGTGATATGTGACATTGCAATCTTTGTATCAGACTTACATACCATTGGTTTGTTTGAAGTCTGTATTTCAAATTGTGGCTGATGGAATATCATTCATATCAAAGTCGCATGTCATATAAGAACATCTGTGGTGGAGTGTATCATGAAATAGAATTGATATTGATATTTGTGATGTAAATTGATCAATATGTATATTATGCTAAATGAAACTCCTTTGTGTACTCATTGTATGTATAGTCTGATCAATCATGTTTCTATGTTTATACGACTACATACAATCACTTTATATTTGTAAATATGATCTCATATAAATATATCTATATATAATATGCATCAGTTTTTGTAAGTTTTAGTGGTGGCATGTATTATGATGAAGCATTTATGCTTTAACAAGCATGAAGTCATCAGAGAATAAATGTTTCGTGGTGCGAGGTGGAAAATTTTAAATGTTATGTTCTGGTCGTGTTGGATATTTTAAGGATATACTTGTGTACGATGTTGTTAATGAATAGGAGAGATAGAGAGAGACACGTGATGCTGATGATGGTGGTGGTGGTGGTGGTGGTGGTGGTGATGATAATGGTATTGGTGATGGTGGTGGTGGTGATGATGGTGGTGGTGGTGGTGATGATGATGGTGGTGGTGGTGGTGATGATGATGGTATTGGTGGTGGTGATGATGATGGTGGTGGTGGTGGTGATGATGGTGGTGGTGGTGGTGGTGGTGGTGGTGGTGGTGATGATGATGGTGGTGGTGGTGGTGGTGATGATGGTATTGGTGGTGGTGAAGATGATGATGATTGTGGTGATGATAAGATGATGATGGTGATTATGATGACGACGATGGTGAATACAAGAAAGAGAGAGAAGAGAGGATGACAGCGAAAAAGGATGATTTGTACGTAGAAAATAAAAAAATAAAGAAGCCTCCGTCCACGATTATAGAGATAAATGACAAGTATATTAACAATTATTGAATTAAGAAGAAGAAGGATATATGAAGAATGAGAAGGGGGAAATAAAATGAAAGGAAGTGAGATATGGGAAGACAAACTTCTGAAATGGAGGTAAAGTTAACAGGCTCAAAGATAGGTCTAACTAATGTGTAAGGGATGTGAAAGTTGGAAGGGAAATATATGAACCGATATGAAGATGACGGGGTGTGGATATATGAAGAATACAAGTAAGAGAGAGAGATTTGTGTGGGTAAAGCATTCTTATGTTATCAATCAATGGCCAACAGGTCCAAGGAGTGAACACAATTTGAAACAGTAGATTTACACTTGTAGTATCCTGGATCCAACACTATAAAGGTTGACTGTAGTATCTTCAAATTGTTAATCTACCATGCTGATTATGTCACTTTTTAGCCCTTTTAAATTATTCATTTGATATTTGGGTTTTTGGAGTGTGCATTGCACACCAGAAATTCGTTGAATTGGGACAAGAATTTTGAAATAAGACTCTAGGGCTCGCTAGTACACTCGACGCAAAAGGTCTTAGGTTTGACGCGATATTGTCTTATTAAACAGGTTCACAGAAGTAACAAATCTAATTGTAATTCATTCAATTAAGACAAAATAACTCGTCAAAGGCAGACTTTCTACATTCACAGTAACGCTTTATAGCCGTTTCTCAATGCGTTTACAAATCAAACGCATATAAAAAGTTGATGATTCTTGCATATCTTTTATTCAACAATCGATGGATTTCCTTTTAAAATATCACAAAACTACTTCATCACTTCAATTTTGATCGTGTTGACATAATATCACCTTGCGACATATACATTCAACACAGATGTAAGGCTATGGGTAAGAACGTAAACGTCATTCAAAATAGAAGAATCTTAATCGAAATACAGACTCTAGTTTGATATTATATATAAACACATACATCCTATGCATGATACAATTGACACAATTTGACAAATACATTTGACAAAATCGAATGCGGTGCTAAACAAAGCCTGTGCTTACTCTAAAACAAAGCATGTGGATTACAAAACGCTTTCAAGAATATTTACAAGAATATATCAAACTTTGTAAATTTGAACCCTGTTTTCGGTATTCTAAACTCATTTCACCTCAACAAGTAGCCTAGTCATAATGGAAATAATAAGTAATCATGAGAGCTGCCAAAACTAAGAATCGGTGCGAAATCAAAACCTAACTAAGTGGGTATGGCTCGCTGATTACAACGCATTTCAAATCCAGGTAGTCGATTTTATTAACCTTGATTTTAGTTTGCTTATATTTACTTTTGTTTTAAAGTTACCAGGTTCCTTTGGAGAAATAAGAGATAAGAGCGCATTTAAACATAAATGTTCGTAAACAACCGAATGATTGATGTAAAAACAAATATACTGCCAGTGGTGTAGAGTAGGTCCACCCATTGAGGGGAGGGGAGGGGATACTGGAAAGATTGGGGGCGGGGAGGGGGTACTGGAACGATTGGGGGCGGGGGAGGGGGTACTGGAACACATGGGGCGGGGGAGGGGGTACTGGAACAGTTGGGGCGGGGGAGGGGGTACTGGAACAATCGGGGCGGGGGAGGGGGTACTGGAACGATTGAGGCGGAGGGGGGGGGAGGAATGCACCTGTCTGAATCGTAAAACGAAATGTAAATTGCAAAGCTACTGGTGAGGAGAGGGTGCGAGAGTTGGTTCAGACGTCTTCTTTTCCCATCTTTTTCCCCTTCTCCCATTCCCTGTTTTTCATTTTTCACTTTTTCTTTCTTTCATTTTTTCACCACTCGAAAGGGTGCCCCCTGCAGCTACGTCACTGTATACAACTTTGATTCATAATCACAGTGATTGAATAATGAATCGGTGTTTGCTTGACGCGACATTTATCCTTGTAAAATAACAACATTCAAATAAGTGACTATGTAATCGTAAACACTGGAAAACTAATTTGTTAAATTGAGGTAATTAATATTAAGCAAAAAATAAAAGCAGCCTGCTTCAACCTACTTTTGGTATTTTTTACGGAGTGTATAGAGTATAACGTCATCTAATGTCATATATTGATTTAGTCCTAACCTGATAAACATTCTTGTAAAAAATGATTTAAATTAGTTTCAAAACTGAATTCCTAATTTTCATTATTTTTATTCTATAGTTGCTCCTTATTTTATATTCGTCTGTAGTGATAGTTTTTGACGATCATTCTATCGTCACTGTATGTTTTGGTCATTTTGTTTTTCTTTTTCTTTTCTACCTATCTTTCTAAAATGGGGGCCATAACTTGACAAAAAACTACGAAAGATACCACAAGAAACGTAGATTTCATATGAATACGCGTACATTCTGATAAAGAACAAATGTTTAATAATCAACTTGCAAAATTCCTTCTATATTTTCTTGTCTGTCACCAATCATTGCCAATATCTGAATTCATGACACTAACTCACTCCACTTGAGCTCTGTCACGTATTCAAATATTGGCGCATGTTGATCAACTGCACGATATGGAAGGAATTATGTAAAATAATGTTAAGGCTAAGTTACCAAGGCAACGACCGAAATATCCAGTCCCATCGTGCGCGTAAGATAAAAGTATACTATTTGGGAAGGGTTAGGATACAAATCTTATCACTTTCTCTTAGTTTTTATTAAAGAAGGTAGATGTTGCCGCCTTCTTCTCTTTTTTTTTTTTAGATTACTGGACGAACAGAAAAACAGATTCTATATTCAAATACACAAGTTGATATTTCTTTTCTCGTTGCTTATCTTATACATGTATGTAAGCCTACCACTTTTTAAGGACTTTTTATTGTAGCCCGTTATGAATCCCCATAACTTGTCTAATTAACCTGATTAATGAAAGATATTTACTGTTACAGTACCCGATTGCAAGGAAAAAAACGAGAAGGAGAAGAAGAAGGAGAAGAAGAAGAAGAAGAAGAAGAAGAAGAAGAAGAAGAAGAAGTGAAGAAGGAGACAAGGAAGGAAGAGAAGGGAAGGAGGAGGAAGAAGAGGAGGAGAATATACAGACGACTACTATGCGATCCATGACCTGTGAATAAATCAGGCAAAGTAGGCTGTAACGAAGACACCGAATGCCATGCAGACAAACAGCCCGACGTTAACAATACGTGACCAGAATGGATCCTCATCTAGTGACGTCAGCTTTCTGAACTCTTCTGCCTTTTCTTCTTCAGTAAGCTCCGGTGCTGGTGGTGCATTCGTGATACCACAAGCGATGTTCCAAGCTCGACGACTAACTGATGGATTCTCAGCACGTCCTAGGGGATAAACAAGACGAAGAACAAACTAAAATAAAGCATGACTTATAATTTATTATAAGATGATGACGTGGATCCTAGTCAAATGATTGGTTGAAAGCGTACACGTGACCAGGCACTTATTTTGCCTAACGCGTAATTTGGATAATGACCGGTCATTATTCAAATCATGTTATAAAACACAATCTTATAAAAAAAATAATACACATCATTTTGTTCGGGCATTAGTAAAATTACCCACACTTGGTACCTTCGAAACAGTCCAAACACCCTCAGCCATCGCCTCGGGCGTGTTAGACTGTTCCAAATGTACCTTGTGTGGGTAATTCTTACTAATGCCCTCACTGCTGTGTATTATGTGTATTCTATATGATCAAAAAGGTATAAATAAAATAATAAAATAATAATAAATAACGTCTCAGTCACACTAGAGTGGCAATTCCGCCCCCCCCCCCAACCACTGCCGAATAAAACCGCGAAATGTGAAAGCAATGCTTCTCAGTGTCTGGTAGCCGATCCGCTGCACACTATAGTTCACATCGGTTGCAGACCGGTTTCCTACTTATTTTTAAAAGAAATGAAGGTTGGTGGGCAACTACTCGTAGGTCGCCGATTGCTTGCTGACAGGTTGCCGACTGGCCAACGACTGGTTACCAGTAACCACTCTAGTGTGACCAGGGCATGTGAGTTCACCTCCCTGGTGTGACTGTCGATTCGAGTAGTATGCCCTTTTTCCAACATTACCAATATACTCGAATCGCTCAAGAAGACATTGCAGATTTAAAAAAATGACATATAGATAGAGGAATATATTTTGTGGGAATCGTCACCTCTCCTGCTCGTAATCCATGATTCTTTGTACAAATTTTCAAAACATCAACCTAATAAAATTATAGCTATGAACAATATGAAAAGATCCATACCCTTGTAGTTCTCGATCTCTTTCTGCTTCTTAACCTTCTGTCTTTCTTCATCTTTTCGCTTCTCCTCCTCTGACATTGGTTCTCGAGGAACCTTGCTGTGTCTCGACCAGTATGTCAGGCCTATCAACTATACAATCATCAAAGGAAACATTAAAATACAATGGAACTTAATGTATTTTAATCCAGTAGTAATCCTATAAATTAAAGAAAATTTCAAATAAAATGTAACTACATATCACTTTTAAAGATTGATAACCGACAAACATTACGAATATACTACTGTGTTTCTAATCTCCTAAACATAGGTCTAGAAAAAAGGTTCAACCATCTACGAACATGTTGACGGATAACAAAGTTAAGACCGACTATTAGTCCTATGTGATTTTTCCTGTTTTTTAAACTTTAATACTCATTAAAAACCTGTAATTAGCGTTTTCATACTGATTACTCCTCTTAAATTGTTAAAAGTCTAAGATAGCAGCGCCTTGTAACCTTTGGAAAAGGCGCTATATAAATCCAATTATCATTAGTAGTAGTAGTAGTAGTAGTAGTAGTAGTAGTAGTAGTAGTATTGTTCATAGCAACGATGGTGATGTTTGTATTTCGTCCCATTGTGTAAACTTTCACTTTGATTGCTTCTAAATACTTATTTTCAAATCGAATTACCTTAGCTGGCTCTATAGCGGGAGTCATAAGACTGATGACCACTACGGCTAGAACTGTGGCACCGTACAGGAAAATGGCAAAGTGAAGATAATGGAAATTCCTGATCATAAGAGGCCTGGTATCCTTGGAACCACACCCTGGTGCTGAGTACAAGTAGTCCAGGACCATACGGGTTATTCCAACAGCCTCACCGAATATAAGACCATAGAATGCGCCCTGGAAGACAGTAAGCATAATTTTAGTCATTTCTTCACGGACAAATTATAATAAATAAAGGAAATGCGATCTATAGCTACAATATATAATAAAAGAGTAAAGTAGCAAAGGTCCTGACACCAATGATTGAAAGATTTTCTATTCCGATCTTGCTATGAAGGGAAATACAAGGGAACATCGAAAATATAGCAGATGCAATAAGAAGATAAAAAGAGGAACCGGGAAGTAAGAATGTGAATCAGAGGCGGAAGAAAAGGAGGATAAATTTTAGGAGTAGAAAGGGAGGAAAAGGAGATAAAGGCAAAGGAAGATAAAGAGGCAAAGGAAGGGAAGGAGAAATAGGAGGGTGGAGAAATAGAAAGAAGAGAATGAGGAGAACGAAGGAAAAGAGGAGGAGGAGGAGGAGGAGAAAGTGTGTGATTGTCGGAAAGAAGGTAAGAATATTTCTTATTGAAGAGTCTAAATGAGGAATGGACGAACCTGTTCATTGGTGCGACTCCAGAACATACCAGCCGAATAGATAGCAAAGATTGGTGGAGAGAGGTATGACGTCATAGACTGAATATAAACGAAGAGTTCACCTGATCCGAATGCCTCAATGAGTGGGAGCCATAAGACACTCACAGCGGCTAGTACCAGAGTACACAACCTGACAACCAAAGTCAAATCATATCATTATTTCAACAATGCTCAATAATTAATGACTAAATAAGTTTTTTAAATGATCGAATAAATACAATTTGGTATAATCAATATTTCAGAAAACACATTTGGATATTTTAGTCGATTTTCTTGCATTTTTTTATTTTAAAACCTGCATATAGAAAAACAGACAAATTTCAATTGACTTTGTGATTATGATTAAAAGAGTGATTATAATAAAGTGCAGATGCGGTTTATGTCATTTTAATTCTATTATAAATTGCAAAAATATATGTCTACAAAATAAGGGTTTAAGTCTTACTTCTTTTGTATTACTTTTACTTTCAATTATTGCAGAAACATTCTTAGGGAAAAAATTCGCTTACCTTCCGACGGTAAGAAGTTCCAGCTCAGTGGAGTAAGGTCTGATCTTAGTCCAGATATCAATGGTGAACAGAGTACTAAGACTGTTGAATACAGAGGTCAATGAACTCATGAGAGCAGCTAACATGGCCGCCAACATCAGACCTCTCAAACCTGTCAACATTCGAATATACAAAAGAATGTGAAGGAGCGCGGGATGACTTCGCTTGGTAAGGCAATTTATCTTACATACTATTTTTGTATTATTAATAGACAATTCCATAGCTTTATCAAATTTACAAAGGGTTGATTACTTCATAATCTATCGTCCACGGCCAACTAAGAAGAAAAAGAAGTGATTGAGGTTGAAAGAAAATGTGATGAGTTAATAATAATAATAATAATAATAATAATAATAGTCCATTGATTTGAACACTTGATTGCAAATAGGGAGGTTAAGAGGTTGAACCTGGCACGCTAATGTATTTGGCAAAACAGCAATGTACATCTGCCACTCAAGGCCCATAATTATGTGTTGAGTAGCTAAATTCAGGGAAGCGATTCCTAAAAGCGCACAGAGATGTAGTCGGAATGTGCTAGGCGCTCTTTAAAAACTTAGTATTTTTACCAAGGAATTGTCTTTCTATTTGTATCCACTGCTGAATACAGTCATGTACAGTTTGAAACCACATTTTAAGTTATTCATGTGTTACCTATTGGCATCCAGCGAAGCACAAGCAGAGGGTAGGCAATGTTGGAGCATCCGTTTGGATTATCACATATCTCCATGCAAGACTCGGCATCCTGGCAAGCTACTTCATCTATATAGATGGAGTATCCAAACAAGGATATATTATATTCTCATTTCATATCAGTCATTTAAAAACAACAAAAGGGCATTCTCAATTCTATTTCAACTGTTTTTTGTTTTGCATTACTTTAACGTAATTTCATTGTCTATTTACAACCTTTGAGAGAACTTTATTATTATATACTATCATATTGGATGATAATATCTATCACAAAGATGACATTTGGTTATAATAATTAAGCAGAACGAGTCATTGTCTGAGTTTTCCCTACTGCTTAAAAATAAATTGTAAAACATAACAAAATTGTGCATTCATGATTGACCAAATGAAATCATATGATTCCATGGTTTACCGTTAATGTTCAATTATTTTGGCACTACACTAGTCCAAAATATTAATTTGGCATTGTAAGATATCCAATCCAATCCAAAAGATATTTGATATAGCGCCTTTTCCTTGCAGTTACAAAGCGAAAGTAACCAATTTAAATCAAACAAAATTAAATCAATTCAAAACCAATCTCAACTCGATGATCTTACCTGGCCACATTGCTCTGCTGATCATACCGGGAAAGATCATAAGAATCATAGGTAGGACCTTAAGAGACGCAGCCAGAATTGCACCAGCCTTAGTATGTGTCAAGGACCTAGCAGACAATGAACGTTGGACCAAAACCTGATAATAATAAAAAAGGAAAGTGATACAAATAATTAAAAGGTCTTCGCCATTTATAGAAAGCGTTGAAGAAGACATTAAGATAATGGTATCAATATAATTGTAGCAGTTTGATATAGATCAAAGCTTGTAGTTCGTGGCGAAAGAAAATATGATGATAAAAATAAAGAACACCGGTTGTGGCACAAGTGTACTCAATATCATATTAACATGAAAAAATTTGTTGTTGTTGTTGTTGTTGTTATAATTGCTATTCATATTATCGAAAAGAGGTGAAGGTGATATAGTTTTCACTAGTTATTATGAGTAATCATGCTAAGTCAACGAAGTGAGTGGATTTGCATTCCCTCACTTCCTATTTACCCGTGAAAATAATTCGGCAATTTCGTCACCCTTCACATGTGCTGCTTCCAAACTAGAGATGGCGTATTTTCTTACAACTCGTAAGGTCTTTACTGAAAGAGATGAGATGCCTACTTTGTGTGGTATTTGAACACGCCGCTCATACACCACATTGCATACAAGTTTGTATATTTTATTACATCTGACATATATCTTTCAAAAATAAAAACACTAAATAAGAAATGAAGTGTGATGACCTTCTCCCTTATCTCAGCATTTCAACTGCCTTCAGCACCAATCTCTTTACCTTTCTCACTTTTTTAAATCTTTTTCTTTCTTTCTCTCTCTCTCTCTCTCTCTCTCTCACACACACACACACGCACACACACACGCACACGCACACACACACACACACACACACACGCACCACCACACACACACACACACGCACCATGTCTCTGTCTCCCTCTTCTCTCTCCCATCACGACACAAAAACACATATCCTACTCGAACAAATGCGAATACTAGACTAAGTAGCTTTGAACGGGAAGCGGAGATATAATAAGGGATGACATCAGTGCTATTCGTGTCATGATAATACCTGATTGGTGCAGAAGTAGTGGATGGAGAGAAGAAAGATTCCAAAGACGACTCCAGGCCATGGGAGATCACCATCATCAGCAGAACGGAAGATATGCCATGCTTTCTCCTCAGGTATTCCACATGTTGTATTAGGATTCAATTGAGTACTGTTAGGAATGGCTGTCATGTAGGCGAGACGGAGAGCTTCAAACCCTCCGATTCGGATGATGGCTGTAACAATGTTAAAAAATATAATTATACAGTCATATATATATATCAGGATCATACTATGGAACTGAACATTCATTTTATTTATTCATGAAGCTTAAAATTGATCATTGGTTAATTTACAGAAAGGCCGTGTATTTGATAAAGGCTGTGAATGTGGCTCGCTTGTTCATATAATTTCAGACTGTGAACAATTTTGAGTGTTCATCAAGATCCTTGTTTTTTAAACGTGACCTTTATTCGTAGGAATGTAAGTAAGTCGATTTACCTTAAAAAGCTATATACAGGACTATAGAAAATATTAAGTGTAAAGCTAATATTACTGTAAGACGAAAAATAAACATTTAATATAGATTCAAAAGTTTTTTAAATCAGGACATAATGCCACGGTGAACAAATGACATTGAAAGTGTGATTCACATTCGAATACAAATTGATGTAATTTGATTGTTTCCATCCATACAACATATCAATAGCACTGTAGCAAATTATATCAAAACTTTCATAGGACCCATTTATCATATTCATCCTTATCACATTCAACATGTTTAGGGCCCCGTCTCACAAAGAGTTACGATCGATCCAAATTAATCGTAAGTCCTCCAATCAATCGTAAGTTTGCAGTCTCCTATCTCTTATGTACATAGTTACGATTGATATTAATCGCAATGAAGTTACGATTGATATCAAACTCTTTGTAAGACGGGGCCCAGAATTGATACAGATTTACGACCCTCATAGCATTGTAAGATGCAAAATATTTGCTGATCTCGAAATGTTTTGCTTGCAGAGATATATAAGGTTCAATTTGACCTAAAGAAAAATCTGAACTAACTTTTGAAAAGGAGTGACTACGTGAGACAAGACTGAAAATTAAACATTGAAGAACAGAAGGAGTTGAAGATGGTATAATTTGCCGAATACAGAGAGCGGTTGTAAACGATTTCATGTTGACAGAAGAAACGCCCCTAAGACCCCGAGGAGGTAACTTTGTACTTACAAAAAATGAACCTTGTTCGATAATATAAAAAAACACCTAGTACTCTTGTATTCCATTGTGATTCTCTCTCTCTCTCTCTCTCTCTCTCTCTCTCTCTCTCTCTTTCTTTCTCTCTCCCTCCTCTCTCTCTCTCTCTCTCTCTCTCTCTCTCTCTCCCTGTCCTCTATTTCTCTTTCTCTTTCTATCTCTGTCTCTCTAACATTCTCTGCTATGTTATGCCCCACTTCAAACAATCTAGAGAGATTTATCGTTGTAAAAATTATTTGTGTTTCCACCTGAACACTCATGTGCTCACGTGGGCCTTTATTTGCTTTCCTTCGAAAGGGATTTTTGTTTTCCGTCGTTGTTCAACAATAACAGGTATAATTTTTGAAACAATGAAAAGGAATCTAAAGTCAGTAGTAACATTTCACCGGTCTGTTGGAGGGATTCACGTATATTATTTTGTGCATTTTGTGTGTTTCTTTGAGCAGATCTTATCTCCTGTCTCGCAGCAATTAATAATTCATGACATCAATTATAAAACAATGGATATTGTAAATCTAGAAGAGGTATTCAGTATTTCTTTAGACATACAGTTATAAACATGATAGAAGGCGGTCTACCAACTTTTACAAATCTATATCAATCGGATGAAGTATAAAGAAATACAATCTTCATGAGAAGTAATCGAGATGAAAAAAGAATTGCATACCCACCTATTACAAACAAGATCAATCCACCAGTCACCATGATGATTGATTGCAATGCATCAGTATAGATAACAGCAGTCAAGCCTCCAGCCACAGTATATACACCAGTCATGACGAGAATCAATACAACTGATAGATACAGATTCCAGCCCAATGTCTGCTGGATGATGACTGTACCAGCGTACATCTCAGCCTTAATATTGAGAAGAAATCAAATGAATACAATATATTTTTACTTTCTTTTCGACCATGTTCCGATCAAATTACATTTCTATCCAATGAATTAATCTTCGTAATCAGTAAACCTTCCAAATGTTTTATTACATCCTTAGCTAAATCTTAATAATACCATTTCTATTTGGAGTTTAATTCAATCACTTTGCTGCGGTATGATATATTAATATAAACGAAATATATATAATATATGACGTACAATTATACAAGAATTCACTGCCTAATGATTTTCTTTGGTCTTTTGTCTTTTCGTTATCCTTTTTGCTCACAAATTTTGACTTCTTTGATATCATACAGACATGACGAAGTAGAGTTGCTCCAGTATACAGTTTTCTGTCTATATTTCAAATATAAACATAGTCAATTAGTATATTCTCCATCATCGTACCATTACTGTCTTATAATCATGAGAGCCATTCAACAGGGGCTATTGCGTAATTTGGTTTACTGGATGCCTGTAGATTATGGAAATAAATATAATCAAATTGATTTGATGTATGCTTTCAAATTTAATTTCATAATCCTTGAATGATATTTGATTTTTGTTTTCTTCGTTATAATAGTTTTTCTTACTGAAAGGTTTGTGAGTACGATGAATATGATGGAGACAACCGCGAGACCTAGACGTAACCTTTGACCTCCAAACCGGATCTGAAGATACTCGGGAACGGTGGTTACCTAAAAACAGTAAGCGGGAGAAAAAAATAGGCAAACCGTCAAAAAACGGGGAAAAAAGTAAGGAACAGAAAAACATATAGGAAAAACAAATACAGTTTAAAACAGTCAGAGAAAGAAAGAGAACGAGAGATGGGGTGTATTTTCTTATACGAATGCTTTGGTTTGTATACTACCATGTATTTTAAATGTCATACGTCTGTTAGTGTGTAATGTATTATCTATACCCTCTTTGTATCAAAAGGATCTATGGTTTAATATTATACTCTTTCATATCTTGAACATAAATATGAGCAAAAGATTTACAACTTACAAGCTCAAGAATAGTTCTTTTAAGGATCATATAAACATATTGCAGCTTTTACCTACTCCTCCTTATGCTAGGGTCTAGTGGCGACACAAATCTTGATTAAACACGTTAAAGATGTTGACCATGCATGGCCATTGTTATTCTGAAGAAGATTGATCGAAAGATATGTAAACAAGCAAGGAAACGCTCTCAATATTTGGTGAATATTTTCAGGATTGTTACCTTTCCCTTTCAAGTATTACTTTCGCACAGGTACAAGTGCCCGCGTGTATATTCAGTACCTTTCACCCACATTCACAAAATGAAAAAATACGTATAATTGTTTCGTTTTTCTCTTTTCTTTCTTTCTTTTTTTTTTGCTTGATTTTATTGTTAGCTATGGCGCAGGGTTATGTGTCCTTATTTGTTGTAGACAACGATAACAAAACCTTTGAACGGGAGAGCAAGTGTGAGGGTGGCCGATTCATGCTAATGTTGCATATATTTCCTAGGATCAAATAAGTTCTCTAGATAAACCGATTTATTGTAATCGCTAACGTGCGGGTCTGCCCATTAAATCTATGTAACGAGCAAACTGACAAAGACAACAAAAACAGATAATCGAATTCCTCGGGACAGAACATTGTTTTTGCTTTATTCATTTGTTATAATAACAATGAAAATGATAATGATAATACTAATAATAATAACAATAAATAAATAATGATAATAATAATGATAACAGTAATAATAACAATAATGTGATTTATAATGAAAATATTAATAAAATCATTAAATTTGTATTGCGCACACAATAACGAATTTTCTACGCGTATTACATTATAATCGTGGATAACTTAAATATCCTTTAGAAAAATATAACACTACTGCAAGAAATGATAGGTCTTAAGGGCTTTATTAAAAGTATCGAGAGAATATATATTTATAACATGGTTAGGGATTGAGAATTCCACATTGAAGGAGCTGATGCTACAAATACATATACGAACACACTCAAAGGCATTTCCATTCTATTCACGTAGTTCAGTAGATTGTTTCCATTTTTAGTAAATCTGCATGCATTAAATGATAGGATTTATTTTGTTTGCTGTCACGTTCAATGATTGTGGAAAGCACGTGTGCCTTCCTACAACGATAACAGCTCATAAAGAGGAGAAGAGGCTTGTTAAAGAGCCATAAATTCTCAAGATTCAGTTGGTGTGTAATGATTGCTTTGCGTGTGAGGACTTCTCCATAGATCTACCCAGCCATGAGCCTACCACAGATCATTGACCTAGTAGGTCCATGTCCAGATTGACATGTCCAGCTGGTGGAAATGTCTCAAACATGTGCCCTAGATAATATGCACGGCGGTCATGATCATCTGATGTCACCTCACCGAAGACCACGAACTAGACGCCTTCCGATATACACCCCGGAGTAGCCCTATACCATATTTATGGATGCAAAAATACCGGTCATTCCTCTCGCAGCAAACCCACATACCGCACAACATGACGCTAACAACGCACAAACACACACGCGCACACGCGCACACGCACATACACACACACACACCCACACACACATGCCACGCGCACTCCCTCGTAGTGCATCATAAAATAATATGTTGCCGCGATATCGTCTGGTTTAGTATTTTTGTTTAGTTATGCAATTCCAAAGTACATTTAATAGATTTGGTTTGTTTGCAGTATACGGTGTGAATCATTTTGGGAAGATACAGTATTGGTTTATAATATTTTCAACAATATATAGTGTTACGTTTTAGGAGGCTAATCAAATATTTTATTTAATGGAATTTGTATCAATTTTCGAACCATCCTTCCTGTGACTAATTATATGTATATGAACAAATTGCTGAATCACATCTATTCAAGCAATAAAAGGGACAAGAGTAAGCAGAAACTACATGCTCTTATGAATCTGAGTGTAGATGGACTTTGAAATTGAAACAATAAAAATACGGAATGTTGATAGAAATCAAATGTACATGTCACACGCATGATACCGTTTCAAGATTACGATTCCTTCTACAATTATAGCTTTATCTTTTGCATATACTCAAAGGAAATTACTTTTAACAATTCTTGCTTCTATTTCGATCTTTTTTAAATACATTACTTCAATGATGAATTATCTAAACATAAGAGTTAATGCACAAATCAATTTCATACATACAAAGCAAAAATGATGATATTCTGTTGAGCGGAGCTACTTACCCCTGATGAAATGTAAATCGGAGTGAAGATAAAACCCAGGATGATAAGAGAAAACAAGCCCTGTAAAAATCATTCAAAAGAAGACTTATGAGATCATAGCTGAATTTGAATGATGTTTTTGTTTTTTATTAACTCATTTAATTAATATACATAAATGATAATTGACGAAGGATAATGCAGGCATTTGTTTCAGCGATCATAGTAATCCTCGACTGTATCGACCTATTTATTGCATTTTATTCAATTTCGTTTCGTTCCTTCTCTTCCACTTCTCTTTCTCCTGATCTCTCTTTTTTCAATTCAACTCAATTTATTTTAATGTATTTTTTTAACGCTTATGTACGTTTAACATGGGTATTTGTTTCACTTACATGTAAAATAAAGGCTCAGACAAAAATTACAAAAAACAGAAATATAATACAAACACGTATACATTTTGGTGATGACACATAATAGTCATACATAATATTTATTCTTGTTTGGTTAAGATTTATTTTGTTTCCTTAAGATAAATGATTTAAACTGTCTTCATGAATATTTATAAATCCAATTTTTTACCACTATACACACAAAAATTAAGGTCATGAACTATATTAAAGTATATTGGAATAAATCGGATAAATTGAAAATAGAAATACTGAATTACAAGTATGGACGAATTCAAATTCAAACTTTATTGATTTCAATCCAAACAGATAGGATCATTCTCAATTTTTGTGCATTGGATAACAAATTTCAAAGTTATAGTGTAACATAGATAATTGAGCGTAAGAGTAAAGATAACAATAACCAGGAGTGACACATATTAACATACTACTGCATTTCTCACCTGAAATATAATACAGGGATGAGAATAAATTATATTACTTGTAATACTATATACAATTTTTCCCCCTTTTCTTTTCAATGGTTGCCGAGTACCAAAATTTTCACCAATCATTTCTTATATTATATTCATTTTACTCTTATTTCTTTTTTTTGACAAAATTAAGTTAGATGTATTATTTTTGTGTTTACCTTACGGTTACCATGGAAATAGTTCCTTTATTCGATTCCTGATTATCATTTATATGTTCTTTCTTTTTATTCCCCATCAATATCTTCCCAGCATGTCCAGTGACGTCATGAGAAAATGATAAACGAGAGATGAAATTCTTTATGGTGAAGGGGTAGGGCTCAACTCGGTTTTTTGCACACCTCCGTATTCCCCAAAGTATTTCACTCTTTCCTATCTATATCAAAAATAATGTGACGTCATTCTTATGCATTTATAATGTTCTCGCCCTTCTTGGTTCTTGGTTATTTAGCGTAAATGAGTAACGCAAGTCCACGATTGTTTACAAACGTGCCCGTTTTTTGTAAAAAGGATCCTGAGGCAAACTTAAGGGCGAACTTGATCGTCATTGTATTAAAACCTTAACTTTACCTGTAGATCGTGTAGGCCTATACTCTCAAATATCAAAGGGGAAATTCGATGCCAAACAAGCGAGCTCTCTTTTTATCCCTTCCTTGTAAAACGATGATGCATTTCAACTGTCCATTGTGACGCAGTCCATTACGAACGAAATCAACGCTAATCTGATTTAGGGTTCTGAGTTTATACTTAGCATACTCAATGATACACCAAAAGAGCTTTATTCTGTCTTAAAATAGCAACATTGCCAATGGACATCGTTTCTAGGTGACGAGAGTGGGGAAGACGAGGTGTTATCGCTGATATTTTATTCCTACGTGAATAGCTTATAGTCTCTTTCAAATTAGGCCTATAGTAATACACCACTGGGACGTCGTTTTTATGCGCACAGGGAAGGACAAGAGAGGAGATTATAGCCTTATTCCTATAGGGGGTATCTCACTGAGCGGCGAATGCTTTAATACGAACGTTGCAAATTTGGATTCTTGGATTCGCTAACTTTTCTGACGAATGTTGGCGAAAATCAGGGTTCGCCCCTGCGACATTTAGCGACATTTACTGATGTTTAGCGACAATTAGTAACATTTGAGCGACAGTTTTTGCGAAGATTAGCAACTATTTGCAAATCTTTTGCCACTATTTGTGAATGTTTGGGAACTTTTGCTAATTCGTGATACTCAATGGGTCGATATTATATAGGAACCATATGGTAACGCTGTCGCTAGCATTGGCGAATCAAAAAGAATTTCAGCGATACCGTCTTACAACCGTTTGCAAAGGCTTACTAATGATTTGCAAACGCTTACGACTGATTTACAAACGCTTGCAACTGTTCGCGAAAAAAATACATTCGCAAATAGATTTCTAAAGGGCCTATCTCACTGAGCAGCGAATGCTTGCGAACGTTGCGACTTTGGATTCGTCAACTTTTCTGACGAATGTTGGCGAAAATCAGCGACATTAAGTGACGTTTAGCGACAATTAGCAACATTTGAGCGAATGTCTCCGAAAGTGTTTGCAAAAGGCAGTTGGCGACTATTAGCGACTGTAAACAAATGTTAGCGACAACTTTTGCGAAGATTAGCAACTATTTGCCAATCCTTTGCCACTATTTGTGAACATTTGAGACCTTTTGCTAACTGCTGGTACTCAATGGGTCGATTTTATAAAGGAACCATATGGTAACGTGGTCGCTAGCTTTGGCGAAACACAGAGAACTGACGAAAACAAAGAGCAAAACCGTTTAACAACCGTTTGCAAAGGCTTACGACTGTTTTGCAAACGCTAACGACTGTTTTGCAAACGCCTGCAACTGTTTGCGGAAAAATAAATTCGCAAAGAAATTTTGAACATGTTCAAAATTTCTTTGCGACATGAAAAACTGTTTACAACAAAGAAAACTGTTTGCGATCTTTCTTGCAACCTTTTACAACATTTTACAAACTCTGGCGAAACCCCAAATTCGCTACGTTCGCAAGCATTCGCCGCTCAGTGAGATAGGCCCAAGGGTTCAAAATTTCTTTGCGGCAAGAAAAGTTGTTTTCGACGTGAAAACTGTTTTGCGAACTTTCTTGCAACCTTAAACAAAGCTTTTGCGACCTTTTACATACCCGGGCGAAACCCCAAATTCGCTACGTTCGCAAGCATTCGCCGCTCAGTGAGATACCCCTTAAGTGAACCCATCAAAGATATTATTACACTGCACTTGTGGCTATTCCATCATGCATCCATGACCCCCCAGATAAAGTAGGTTGCGGATACCTTCTCTGTTTACCAACTTGCATGAAATAATTGCGTGCTTTAATGAACAGATTATAGAAGGCTTTATATAGCTTTATAGATGATGGTTATTATCCTGTATGAAATCATGTGTACGAGGTGAATGAACTGACCAAGTTTCCTCACTTTGGCCAGATAAGTGTAGAACTACGTCGCGAGTCACTCAATATCATACATATCACCCCCCCCCCCCCGGACGGTGGAACATCTGTTCAAAACTAGAAGGTATTTTTGATACCCCTTTCTATACTTTTATTGTTATTTTGAATCAATAATTGATCAATAATTGATGTACATCATTAAGAATGATAATCGTGTGTATATTTTTTGATTCAAGTCCATTTAACCGATTACAATAAATGCATTACAGAACATCTGATCAAACAAACTGAAGTTGATTCTACTTACATGGAATTCGTATGAGACGACGGCATATCCTGATACAGCAGCGGTCCCACCAAGACCAATGAATGACCCACTACCAATGTTACTCACATACAAAGAAAGACCAACCTACAACAAGAAACATAGAGAATAACATATTCGGGAATTAAAACACTTCAGTTTCTATACGCATTCAATACACATCATATCATATACCTTTTAACAAAACGGTATAGCAGACTATACACTACCATGAATATATTACTTTTAATTCATTTTATTCAATTTATTCTCAACATGCCATTACAAATTTGATCAGACTAAATGATGTATTACAATTGATTTAAGATAATGAAAGAAGTCTATATAAAGACCACAAAAAACTACTTTTGTATAATAATTGAAAAGAGGGATATAATGGAGAAAGGATGGGGATGTAAAAAAGCATTGTATACATGTGTAGTTTATTTATTTATTTTTTTTAAAAACGTTTTAGCCCTCCATAGGCTATTTTATTGAGTCAAACAAACATTTTTACAATTCAATGAAATTAAGTCTTTCCTGAACTCAAACAAAACAGAATACTTTCACATTTCTCTCCTTGTTGTTCATACAAACAAATGTTGAAGTGCCTGCCATTTAGTAAAAAATTTGTTATGCATACCAGATATAGAATGGATATATCTCTCGTCTTCATAATATTGAATGATTTTTCTTCTTCAAAGAACTAAAATTTGGAATTTTGTTATTAAGCTTTTGAACAAATAGTTCATGCTTAATCAAAGTCACCATGCAATTTAAAGCATCGATTCTTTTGTCTTCAAAACCAAAAAGTACATTTTCTAAATTAAACTCTATCTGTGATCGAGAACCTTCATTTATCCATTTCACCGTTTCCTTCCAGATTGATTTACTGATTTCACAATTGTAAAAGAAATGTACAATATCTTCCAACTCTTTTTTTACAAAACGAACATTTATCGTTACTCACTATTTTCATCTTATACAGTTGCTTGTTCAAATACAGAATCCTATTTACTATCTTAAACTGAAAATATCTTAGACCAATATCTGGAGTAAAACGAAATATCATTCTATGATATTTCTGCATTCTTATACATTCAGGGGTATAATCTAAATGTCGTTCCCATTTCATACATATTGAGTTAACACAATTTGTTTTTCCAAGAAAAGTTTTGTAAATATATTGTTTATTTTATGATTATGAGGATCAGTTTTAAAAAAAATCAAACTATAGTTGAGGCTGGACAGATGAATTACCTTGAGTAATATAAGCAGGGATATCCCTGATATAAGGTACTTCTACAACTCTCTAATGTAGATTGTACATAGAAAGTAACATACTGCTATGGGGTCTCAACTGAATTAGGTGTACGAAGATAGTTGACATTTAAGTTTTACATTGCCGTACTTAGGATGTCTTAGTCAGGTAAGTGCAACTCAAAGCTACTTTATTTCTATAATAAGCAGTGGCGGATCTAGAGGGGGGGTTGGGGGGGTTGCAACCCCCCCCAAAAAAAAAAAATCCGGGGACCATTTTTTAAAATCTTATCTTTTTTTTTAAACTTGTAATTTTATTTTATTCTATTTCTATGTATTTATTTCATTTATTATTATTATTATTATTATTATTATTATTATTATTATTATTATTATTATTAATATTATTATTATTATTATTATTTCTTTTTGGGGGAGGGGGGGGGGGGGTTGGGCGAACAAATGTCACAGAGTCCCTTGCCCCCCCCCCCCCCCCCCATCAGCATTTTTGAGGACACGGGCCACCGCCGAAGTGACAAGCTAGGCCAGCGTTGCCGATTCTCAAAAAAAAAAGGAAAAAAAAGGAAAAAAAAAAGAAAAAAGAAAGAAAAAAGAACGCACGCTGGAGAGAAACCCTTTCAAGTGCAAATATTGTGAGAAGATATTCAACTCATCTGGTAACTTAACCAAACACATGATAACTCTGGATATAACTGTGTATTTAACTGTTACTTGATTTAAAAAGACGTTATCATGCACTGCTTTTTATGGTCTCCATTGTGTTAATAGATGCCAGGAAAACATCACTTACGGGGTTCAAATAAACACCCCAAAAAAATCGGCTCGCCGCTTCGCGGCTCGTGGACGATACTCCGCATCGTCATTATGGTCAACCCCCCCCCTGAGCAAAAAGCTAGATCCGCCCCTGATAAGATGGTGGGCGAAGGATTGTCTAATTTCACAATATTGGGTAGATGAAGAAGATGTTGACCTTTATGTATATGCATTTAAATTAGCCGTTGTATAAAAAATATCATGAAAACCTTCAAACGGTCTTACTTTTCAATCTCCTCTATCGTCAAAACTAATCACTGCGATTGAAATATTCCGATATGCATGTAGTATTAAACGAAACAGATATAATTACTCATTTCCTCATTTAAATTGATTCAGTAAAAAGTTATGTTTAATAATGTATCAGGCGGTGTCTTTACGTAGATTTAAATCACATTCTCTGTCCATTTGGTGAGATGTATAATCGGTATTATAATGTATTAAAAAGAAACAATCAAGACATAAGACAGCATAATATAAACACGCAACGGTATTTCATTCCTACATATAGGAAAAACATACTTACTGTCCAAACAGGGTCAGGTAGTGTTATGTGCAAATGAAATGTGTGACATGAGACAATGTTATAGACAAGGAACTGTATCTAATCCCACATTATCAAAAACATATTTACTATCCATAAAAATTAATGAAAAGAGGCAGTCATTATTTTAGCACCGTATTCACAGTGACTAGTTTAACGACGCAGCTGTATAATGCCACCTATAATGGGAGTCACTGGCATTTTGTAATTAAAAATAGTACCTGCTTTTTATCGCCGTTGGTGTCCTTGTGATACCCGTTGTTTATTGTTTTATTTTTGCATATGATTTTGTTTTGTTATCTTTCGTTACTGGTTTTTGTTTACACTATAATTTGTATATTTTTATTCAGGTTATGAACTTCGAAAAACAGCTGTTTAGACTGAGCGAGCTACAGTGTTTAAATAAATGAAATGAAATGTAATGAAAAAAGTGCTTCTCAAACAAGCTTGCTAATTTGCCAGGTGCGTTCCACAAATTTTTTTAAATACTGTAATTAAAAGAAAAAAGGTTTGAGATGACGTAATAACTTACCAACCACCATGCCATGTCTCGACCTGCAAGGAAGTACCCGCTGGTCGTACTGCGATTCGACTTCCATGCCGACTACAGATAAAAGAAAACGTAGACAAAGTCATCATCGGTGATGATAGGATATAACATTAGTATGATATACAGATATTCTTTTAATAATATATACAATTTATTGTCTATAATCCATTGTCTTTCGTAATTCAATGCATTCTTAAAAGCGTAAATAAGGTGTTAACTCTTCTTATTTCATACATGTATTTCCCTGTATCACCGTGTAGTAGAATTCTGTTCAAGATGACACGTGGTTCAGGATGGATATTGGGCGTCATTAAAATGTGTTAAGAATTCAGTGATGCGATATGTGCTCAATTGACAATTGCTTCTGTTTTTGTTTGTTTGTTTATTTATTTTTAATTTTTAAAGAGATTAACTCGCGGGGAAAGACAGTACGGAGAAGACGTTAATACTCAACACATTGACCTGGAAATAAAATAATATACCTTTATACAATCTGAAAAATATATAATCATTATTTATTTTATTTCTACATTATTCTATTCTAAAATGTCGGAAGAAAAACGATATAAAAACAATGACTTTCCTTACTGTTGCCTCACATTAGGGCGTTTGCCAAACGATTTAGATCATCGTGTTATGTACCGTATTTTTAAAATTTGACTTTTAAATGATAATCTTTATTCGATGTTTCCTGTCATGCGAATCTTTAAGATTCTTGCTATTCATAACATTGACATTATTTCGTTTTAATCATTTGAATAATTTTGACACTATACTGCGATATTGCCTATGTAATTATTGCAAACCAATAGAATAAGATGTTATTTGTCCCACAGGACACACTTGACATGTGTTCCATAGGGATAATCCTAAAGTCCCGAGCCGTGGTGAACTTCGGACAAACTTAAACTTAAATAAGAACTCGTTCAAACAACCCATTTTATCCGAGTTCATGGGAAAGAAAGGTGAATATTTGAGGTGAGGCGCCACCGCGATGTAGAGAGTAAATAGATAAGACACAATCAACTATTTATATAGATGTCGAAATAGGTGACGGCGTAATACCGGTCGCGCTCGATCTCTCCGCCTATCTTTCCCTAGCCCACTCTCCTCTCTCTGATTGTATTTATATGGTTAATGCCATGATCGCACAGACTTTCAAGAAATCAACTTAAAGGCAATTTCAATACGTTATTATCCGATATATTATCTAATATGTCATTGTCATGTTTGCATGTTTCAATAGGTACAAGGCTATTGAAATGACTTTTGGTAAAATTGTTTAAAAGTATTTGCGATTTTCTTCAATTAGGTCAGGTCCAAGGCTTTATATTTCTTACTTTACATTAACTTCTATAGCTGTAGAGATCACTATAAACTATTCTGCGATCATGGTTATGATGACGAAATTGATTAAAAATGGGTAAGAGGACCCTTTTTTCAAAAGGGGGGGGGGGGGTTCACAAAAACATACACAAAACATACACATAAAAAAACTCAAGTGGGGGGTTTAACCCCAAACCCCCCCCCCCCCCCTTCGTACGTGCCTGTCAACAGTCCTTTTCAGGACTACACACCCTCAAGAGAAAGATTACCGAGAGTCCTTTTCAGGACTCCTCAATCCTCCCTCTCTCTCTCTCTCTCTCATGGTGCATCCGCAAGCCTACTGTATAGATACATGTCTTATTTAGAAAAAATATGACCTTGTGCTTTTGGTCAAGGAATGAAATTTCAAATATTTTGCATTGAGCCCCTAATTATGCCATGCAGGCATATCTCGTTATGCAGGCTTAAACAGTAATCATAAGTTAAAGGGCCACTCTAACCCAACTAACATAGCCCTTCAAAACATGAATACACCTCTACTTATTAATATTTCAGCCTCTGATTTTTCAGAAAATCTCTAAATTGACAAAAATGATAATAACCATCCATTTTTCACAGATCTCACGCTTGCTTGGCTAGGCCCTTCTAAAAAGGTTAATACGGTCACGTGGCTTGATGATACATTTGACGTCATTTCGGACATGTCCGATTTGTCCTACAACTAAGGATCTCTCAATACTTAGGAATGACGGATTTGCCAACACGTACTGGGATTATCAAGTGCATATTTTTTTTTTGATAAATGTCTTTTTTTCTTCAATATCATAGTTTGTTTATTAAAGACATTTAACTGCCTAAATCACCCTCCTTTTCACCGGAGAAGCTCCTGCAGTGACGTCATATGCTATTGCGCAATACAGCTCCGAAACTAGGCTTTTTTCTGAGCGTTCTGAGTTGGCATTTTTAAAGCTAGATTCCAGAATTATTGACGATTTCTAAGAAAAATCATTGTCATGCTCGGAATCTCCGTCAAAAATTGTTCTACAGGTCTTTTAACATATTTTTTTAGCCCGTTTTGGTTAGAGTTGCCCTTTAAACTCTCTCCTTCCCGTCCAAAGGGAAACATGATACACCATCAGGAAAGATAAGGCGTTGTACCTACCTAATGCAAAACTCACAGGTATAAGAATAGTTTTCTAAAGTGTTGGGAGCCCCAAATTCGCCAAAAATTTGATGGCAGAATTTCACTTAAATTGTCTTAAGTGACATCCTCTTTCACATTATGACACACTTTAAGTGAAATTTTGCAATCAAATTTGTGGGGCTCCCAACACTTAAGGGGGTCTTTAACTTGCAATAGTACTGTTTAAAGGGAAATCCAACCTTGATAGCAAACTGCTCTTGAGAAAAACAGAAAACCTGAGAAATAGATCAATGAACGATTGAATGAGATCGGACAAATATGGGAAAGTCATAAATCTTTGAAAGTTGTAATCACTTTAGGTATGGGCTTTTTAAGTTGGCTGAATCGGTAATGTATATGTGATGTAGAGGAGGACAACTTCCTCATTATTTTATTACAACACACAAAATGATTAAAATTCCAATTTTTTAAAGGCACTATAAAGAGAAAAATAAATAAGATGATATTTTTGTAAGCCACAACGGGAGAGTGATCAGCGCTATGTCACAATCCTCTGACGTAACTGTCAATTTGAGTTTCTCATATAGACTTAGTGATCTCATATTTCAAATCATCATAACTCTCTTTGTATTGGTCCGATCAAATGGACTTGTTTAAAGAGTTGGTTTGCCCGAAGTGAAAGAGTGGTCTCATTTCATTTTGTGATTCAAATTGTACAATGTATTATAACGAGAAAGTCAAGTATTATACTCTTCTGGATACTCACCGGATGTTGGAATAAGTCCTAACTTTTGCACTTCCCTTGAGAGCTAATACTTGTTTGCCAGATCCGAAATCATACTTAAGGCTCAGTTTGTTACTTTCTTAATTTGATTTCAATACGCTTTATGATTATGACATATCGTCTGTTGAGAGCCGGAAGGCCGGGAGGGTGTCGGGTCATGAGTTGACGCCCTTCTGTCGCTGACCAGATGACACGTGGTACCATTCAATTCGGAACGACGTTTCTGACCTGTTTTCTTGATTTTTTTTTAAATAAATTTATTTTACTTTTGATATCAATTTTCATTATAATCTGCTTAATATAGGTTATAGACGTACCTATCTAACCTTCTTCTGATGTTAAACACCATCATACGAAGCAATATACTCATAAGCTTACAACAATTTATTTGATGATCTGTAATAATATGATTGTATTTATAGCGATCTCATAGTTATTCATTAATTTATGTATTTATGTATCACACCCTGTAGAATCATTGTGTGAATTATATTTTACCGTTGCTATATACCTCTTTGTATTTTTGTATATTTATTTAAAATCAACCTTTTGTTTGCAATTGAGGAAAAATAAATAGATTTACCTCCTCTTATTATCAGTGTTACTTATTTTTTCTTTTCCTTCTTTAATTGTCCTTTTTTGTTGGCCTTATTCTTCTGTATAAATAATTGTGTATCCTTCATTGTTCAAGATCAACACACTTTTAAAAAAGGGGTGATGTTCACTCCGGGTAACTCCACGGTCAGACTTAGTCTTCTATCCCTATCAGATGAAGATAACAACTTATATGGAGGGGTAATATAATCCGACTATAAAGCAGCCATTCATGTAATGCAAAATTTTATTCAAGCAATGAAGTGTCAAAATTAGAGTTACTTAAGAAACACGCAACGACGGCATGCAATATCACGTGAATCATAATAACACATAATAACACACGTGACATCAGATATGGAATATAAGAATTAATAATGCAATGTTTAGTGGAAGGACTTTATAAAAGCATATTATTGTTTTTCCAGTATTAGATCTACTTCACGAAATGCGCAATAAATGAAATACAAGTCAGAACATTATACTCCTTTTTTTACCAGCATTCAAAATGCCCCCCTCTCCCTCTAGCTCTCTTATCATATGTGTTATAATCGAGGTGGAGAAAGATCGCCAGCGGGCAATGGTCATTTAATCCACATGACCTATTTCTTACCTAGGTCGCCTGGTTAGGTGCACTAGTCTTTGACATTACTCCTTTCATTCAACTTTAATGTACATACATCGCATATTGATTGTTGATGAATTGAAAGAGTAAAATTTACAAGATTGTAGATAGTTATAAAAACTAAAGATAACAAATTAAAGATGTTGTTGATTTATTTGAGAAACAGCATCAGCTCTCTGTGTCATATAATATTCAGATCTATATTCCATTTCTTGAATAACCCTCCATTTTTGGAACATTACCACTCTGCATTAAATTCAAATCACATCATACATACATTGTCATAATATGTTTTATATCAGGGCTTCATTACTATCAATATCCACAAACTTTACTTACCCAGATACCTAGAGCGAGCACGACTAGGAAATGGACGACGATCACGGCATAATCCACAGGATGTAGAGCATTCTCTACAAGAACCATTTTCAGCTAAAGATGGGGTTGACCTCCTTGAAGATTCAATCAATCCGTATTTCCCTCTGCAGTATATGGACGATGGCAAAGACGGGAACGAATTGTTTCAACAAAAACGCGTTATACAATTTAATTCCAAAAAAAGAATCAAAATGAAAAGGAATGAATTTTCTTCATAATAACAAATAAAACATCTAGTGACTGTAAGGGGTGTATTTCGAGCTCCGTGTTTCACTTGGCGACTACTATAAAGAACTTACGTCGAGCTCAATTACAAATAGCCAACAGACGTAGCCACAACTATTATGACGGACACGCCTACTTCACTCCTCTGCTCGACTCTAAGCTTCTCCGTTGACGACGAAACTTTGTCTAAACGAATGATCGAACCCCCTGGTCGTAGCGTGCACTAGTTTTGAGTATCAATAGGCCAGCTTGGTAAAAATGAATATGAATGCATCACCGTTGATTGATGTAGATCACTGTTTACATGTAGGCAGAGTAGGAAAGGAAGTTTTTGAGATAGTACAAAATCATGTCTTCTGCTTCTTAATTCTATTTACTTTTTTTTTACCGCAGATAGTTTACTGTTTGTCCTACAGGTGTACACAAACATTTTGAAGTCCATGAATAAAATTAACCGAGGTTTCTCAGCTGCGTTTATGATCCCAGGGGTTATAAAGATAGTAACATTGGTTTAAGGTACAGATCTAATACCAAGCGTAGCATTACCAATGTCTTTACAATCATGCCTCAAGAAAATCAAATTTCAGATTCATCCGAGAAAACTGTGACGTCATGAACGGGTGTAACTTAGAAAAGGGACAAGGATATAATTTGTTTTCTTCTGATATCTTCCAGAATGAATGAACATCTCCTTAGATGAAACATTTCTTTTTTTTATTATTATCTGATGCATCTGCTGTAGAGAAAGGTTTTAGTTGTCAAATTGAATATAACCGTTATTTATTAAAGGTAACTTAATCCTAGATAGCATTTCCCCTGCCCCACCACCTTATCCCTTTATTGAGTGAGCTACCATCATCTACTATCCCTACATCCTCAGAATTCTTGAAGAATAGACAAAGAGTGACTTTAAAGATAATGAAATACGTGAGATAGATAGATGATCGTACTAATATTGTAGAGGTGTTTGAAAATATGCACGTTTGTGTATCAAGCTATGGCTTTTTAAAAACAATCAAAGCTTACCGAAATTGTCTATGGTGAAGACAGAATAACACAGGTTGTCAGATACAAACAAATATTTTGTAATTTTATGTTTAGCTGAGCACAGGACTCATCCTGTGGTTATGACCATTTAATAGTATGTTCCCTTATCTTCACCTTTTGGACCATAATTTTCACATGTCACATAAAGTAGTCTTACCATCAATATTAATATTCAAAACTGTCAAAATGGTTTAATTGTCAATATGCATGTAAAATATTTTAAAAATCAAATTCAAATGGTAATCGGCATATCTCAAAATATTTTGGATTGAAATTCCCTTTTAAGATTCGAATTCTTTTCATTTTGTTTGTTTCTTTTTCCTTCTTTTCCTGTTGTTTTAATTCGTTAAGGTCATAGCTCATCATATTTTGAAGGCATCGTACTTTACCAATTATGATAACAGGTTTACTGCTCGTTCACTGGCTCTCTTCCGAGTTGGCTTCCGATAGTAAATCACTGACTCACAATTATACAATATTATAGGTGAAAGGAAACATCTATACACGCACCTTTGTAAAAGCAGGTAATTATTAGAACAAAATAGGAAAGGATTCAGTTTCGAAGTAAGGTAGTAGGTTGAGCATTTCATTCGGAATTTAAAAAATAAGTGATTCACTTTGAGGGTAGGGATACAATAAATTCCCCATTGCAGTTAAACACGGCAAATAGCTCCATCATAGTAGTTGAAGAAGGAAATGGGTGTTAAAGCCCCTTTTAAAGTGTTGGGAGCCAAAATTTCGCCAAAAAATTTGATGGCATAAATTTCACTTAAATGATATCATAATGTGAAAGAGAATGTCATTTAAGATACACATCTGCAAATATCCCCCCCCCCCCAAAAAAAAAAAAAAAAATGTGTTTGAAGACAAATATTGATCAAATAATACATAATATTGATTTTCTGTTGCCGTACGCAGAACACCTAAATTTTGTATTCTTTCATTAATATTCGACTTCAAACACATTTGTTTTAAGAATACTTGCAGAAATGTGTCTTAAATGACAACCTCTTTCACATTATGATACAATTTAAGTGAAAATTTGCCATCAAATTGTTGGGGCTCCCAACACTAAGAGGGGCTTTAATCAATTAGGTTGGCGGTTCAAATCCCAGTCATGGCGCTTGTGACCTTGTGTAATTGTTGTTGTTATGGTTGTTGGTTTAGGTTTAAAAGCGCTTCTCAATGATTATTTGCGCCTCAATTTACAATCAAAGTGCCTTATATAGCGCTTGAGCTGTGCTGTTGCTCACCACATAGTCAAAACACTTAGGCCTACATAATGTACTATCTTTTTCAGTTCAGTTCAGTTTGTTTTATTACCATATCGCAGCCTCAGCTGAATTACATGACAAGTTACAATCAAATCGAAAATAATATCACATTTCATTTCATTTCAAAACAATATATTTTATAATACAATGCATTTCTATAAAAACAATTAAAAAAAAGGAATATACAAAGTAGATACTTTACATGAATATAATTGATATTAGTTTATCTGATAAACAAAAATATTTACAGTTTTTTAACCTATTTCCAGACATCAATCCTAGTAGTAAAATATCAAATGTCAACTCACAATGTTCCGAATCAAGGAGAATGACGGATCTACACGAGTGGTATCTTCATCCTGAGGTGAGCTACGTATTGACTTTAAAACATGACGGGCAAATTGTCGTCTTATTTAACTGACAAAACTATAATTATTCTGACTCTTTCTCACGTTTCCCCCTCATTTTTCTAGTTTTTCAACACTTGTTTTTTTTTTTTAATTCTTTCTTAGTTGGATATCTTTGCTTATATTAATCATTAGAATCCCGTTCCCTCTTGGTACAAACACAAATCCTCTGGTCCCTCATGTAAATTCATACCTATCCCGCCGATCCTACAACTTTTAAAGTATTAATGTGACAGTCATAAAAAAAACCTTGAATGAATAATTCATAATCACTTTGACATGACATTTCCAGCTGGGCATCATGCCACATCGATGTTACACTCATCAAGCAACTTTAACACACATATATCATTAATACTGCGACGTAGCGAATATGGACTTGACGTATGAGGGCGGATCAATGTCGCTATTCGTAAGGACCGCTATTCATAAGGTTTGCTATTCATAATTGGAGAAAAGGGTCATTATTCATAAGGGTCATTATTCATAAGGACCGCTATTCATAATCAAAGAAGAGGGTCAGTATTCATAACACAGAAAGAGGGTCGCGATTCATAATACGAAATGAGGGTTGCTATTCATAATACGAAATGAGGGTCGCTATTCATAATGCAAAATGAGGGTCGCTATTCATAAGGGTCATTATTCGTAAGGGTCATTATTCATAATTGACGAAGAGGGTCGCTATTCATAATAGGAGAAGAGGGTCGCTATTCATAATAGGAGAAGAGGGTCGCTATTCATAATAGGAGTAGAGGGTCGCTATTCATAATAGAAGAGGAGGGTCGCTATTCATAATAAGAGTAGAGAGTCGCTATTCAAAATACGAAATGAGGGTCGCTATTCATAATGCAAAATGAGGGTCGCTATTCATAAGGGTCATTATTCGTAAGGGTCATTATTCATAATTGATGAAGAGGGTCGCTATTCATAATAGGAGAAGAGGGTCGCTATTCATAATAGGAGAAGAGGGTCGCTATTCATCATAGGAGTAGAGGGTCGCTATTCATAATACGAAATGAGGGTCGCTATTCATAAATAAGAAATGAGGGTCGCTATTCATAATAAGACCCTCTACTCCTATTATGAATAGCGACCCTCTTCTTCTATTATGAATAGCGACCCTCTTCTCCTATTATGAATAGCGACCCTCTACTCCTATGATGAATAGCGACCCTCTACTCCTATTATGAATAGCGACCCTCTCGTGGTATTATGAACAGCGAACCTCATTTCGTATTATGAATAGCGACCCTCTACTCCTATTATGAATAGCGACCCTCTTCTCCTATTATGAATAGCGACCCTCTTCTCCTATTATGAATAGCGACCCTCTTCTCCTATTATGAATAGCGACCCTCTCGTGGTATTATGAATAGCGAACCTCATTTCGTATTATGAATAGCGACCCTGATTTCATATTATGAATAGCGACCCTTAATGAGTAATGAACCTCATTTCGTATTATGAATAGCGACCCTCATCTCACGTTATGAATAGCGGTCCTTATGATTAACGAGCCTTATTTCTTTATGAATAGTGACCCTCTTTTACCATTATGAATAGCGGACCTGCAGGTTTGGGAAGTAACACGTTATGAATAGCGGTCCTTATGAATAGAGGTCCTTATGAATAACGGTCCTTATCAATAGCGAATGTGTTACATTAATTTTAGTTGTTACACTTTGAAGGCTGAGTGACATTAAGATTCGATGATTGACAGAAAAATTGATTTCAAATCAGCTCTATCCTTGACTTAGTTGATAGATTCTATGAGTATTACTTTTATTTTCTCCTTTTTTCTGCATAGAATGATGGAAATCAATAATACAGCAAGCCCTATTTGCGTGTATCTTCAGGGGAATAACACATCATTAGGACAGAGAAAAGTGTAAGGCTAATAACCCAACAAATACTATCGGATATCCTGAACTGCACACCACTTAAAATCGTCCATAAATTCGTCATGTGCACTCCTTTCACCGATTTTGGTTTCATATTTCTTTTGGCAAACGTCTTTAGGACTGATAAAGAATTTGAAACACACGATTTTTTAAAAAGCATTTAAGCCCCTCATCCCCTTTCAAAGATCCGAAGGTAGACTCACTTTCGGCACAATTATAAAGGAAATAGAAGATAATAACTTTTTTTTTTCTTAACGGATAAAAATTTGTTGGTCCTGACAATCAACAAACAAGAAAAACGCAATATAATGAGAGCTTGCATCGTGATATACGACATGAGAGAGAGAACATCTATTTCGATACATGTCAAACATTGCTGCAATGAGGTTCATGAATAGAGTTTGTGCAAAACTACACATAATAAAAGGAAAGAATTAAAGCGTGTAATCGAATCATTTGTTTGTGGTAAACCAACAAAGTGGATAAAAAGCAAAATATTCGTATGATGCCTATGTAATCATAGGAACTAAACTTTCACCAAATCTTTTATGAAGTATGAACTCATAAATCATATTGATACAGTCATTGTGTCTTTGCACTTAGCACAGTTACCCAAGCCCTTATACCAACACTTTAGCTGCAATAAAACATATTTAGACTCCTCTCATGAAATATAGTGTTCAATGATC